TACTTCGTCGAAAATATCTTGTAGGTGCAAACCTGCACCCGTGAGCCGAAGCGTTCGCGAAACCTCATGAAGCCGATCAGCATGTCGGCCTCCACGATCCCGGGCTCGCCGGGCTCGCCGCTTGGTCACGCGCGCGTGCACGAGTAGCGACCGAAGGGAAACGGTGCAGGAACTCGGCTCGGGATAGCGCTCGACCTCGGCCACCAGATCGAACATCTGGGCCGAGCTATAGGGCAGGACTCGGCGCTCGACGTGCTGCGCATCGGGCACGCCTTCAGGCTTCGGCGGGGACTGCGGAGGCGAGCTTGGCCTCGCGGTTGGCCCGCAGGGTCGACACATCGTCGTCCCGCGCTGGTAGGAGACGGGCGGCGTCAGCATGAATCGCCGAGGAACGAGACATCAGAAGTACCCTTGGCGTAGGCCAGCCGCTCGTACTCGGCGAACTCGTCCGGCGTGGCGTAGCGCATCTACCTCCCTCATGGTGCGCTCGTGTCTATACTCGGGCGCAGGTGTACTGGCTCGTCGATGTTTTAAAAGTCCACGTCCGCCGAGCGCAGATCGTCCATCACCTGCAGGATCTCGCGGCGCTCCTCGCCGAGGCCCACCATGACGCCGGACTTGGTGAAGATGGAGGGATCGCGGCGCTTCACCGTGTCGAGCAGGCGGAGCGAGTGGTAATAGCGCGCGCCGGGCCTCACCTCGGTATAGAGGCGCGGCACCGTCTCCAGATTGTGGTTGTAGACGTCGGGCTTCGCGTCCGTCACCGCCTCGATGGCGCCGGCCTTGTTGCGGAAGTCGGGCGTCAGCAGCAGCACCACTCGATCGTGTTGTCTCTTTCCGTCTCGGCGCATCCGCTCGATACAACAGCGCACGAAACTTAACGGCCCCGCCGTCGTCCGATCTCGCACGTCGAACCGAGTGGATACGACATGTTCGAGGCCGAGCGACTGTCCGCGTAACCGCCTTTCGCCAACTCTTCCCGGCTCAATTCGTTCTAGCTGTATCTGGTTTCCTTCTGTCCGTTCGCGACTTTTCGTAATGGTCGCAGGCGCGTTGTGCATACCTGATTCCCAGATCATCAACCTTGCGTGACCCCTTTTGTCCACGCGATCACTCGCCGATGTTGGGGCATGCCGGCCATCTCTCGCCCAACCTAATTACTGCCTTTTGTCTTCCAAATCAGCTTTCGCGTCGCGTTGTATTCGGTTCAGGCTGATGGTCGGCGCCCTTGAACCCGGAGCCAGCCGGCTGGTCTGGGGTCTTTGCGCATGAATTTCTTCAAGCAAAGGAGCGGGTGACCTGCGAATCCGGCATGGCGGCATCCTCGGTGTTCCAGCCTAGATGTGGAGGACGCGCCCATGAAGCTTCAACATCAAAAACCTATTGTCGTGCACATCGCCCTCCGAAAGTTTGTTGGGGTTCGGGGAAAATCGTCCGGTTGATCTCGGCCTCGGTGCTCTCCAGCGTGCGGGCGACCGTGTAGCCCTGGATCAGCTCGGTCACCTCGGTACCGATCATGTGTCGGGGCCGAGCAGCAAAAAAGCTTCTCCGTTCATCCGTTCTTCTAACAACGTTCTTAACCATATAATCATCACACATAGCCCTCTGTCATCTCCTATCATGCTATTTCGCTTTTCCGTTTAACTTGTTGCCTATTAATTTTAATCTCCCTACCTACGCCGTCCGCCTTTTTTCCTGATCATCTCCTTTTTCTTTTCTTCTTTATCTTCTTTTTCTTGCCCTACCATCTTTCTCCCCTTTTTTCTTCATTAGCCTTTTTCAGGAGTCGCTTCTCCTTTTATGATTTTACTCTGTAGATTCCGGCTACACCCCTGCGCTCCCTTCCCTCCCCTTATTTCTGCCAGTCCTCCGTGCACCCGGGAGCCGGGGTTGAGGGAGCTCTCAGTAAAAGACCCACTCTCTGTATCGGTTCTTTCTATTCCTTGGGGGCCTGGAGGTTCATCACCGGTCGCCTCTTGGCTGCCTGTGGGCGAGCCAGGGCGGCCCGGTGACATCGCCGATGGCATAGACGCCAGGCTCGCCGGTCGCCATCCAGGGGTCGGTCTGGATGTGCCCTTCTCGACGACGACGCCGGTGCCCTCCAGGCCGAGGTCCTCCACGTTGCCGACGATACCGGCGGCGAGGATCGCGCGGTCGAACGTGGCCTCTTCCGCCTTGCCGTCTTCGGTCTCGATGGCGGCCTGCACCGCCCCGCCGCCGTTTCGCCGCGAGACTGGTCACGCGCGCGCCGGTAGTGGATGGTCATGCCCTGGGCCTCGAAGGCTTGCCGCGGCGGCCGAGATCTCCTCGTCCTCGACAGGCAGCACGCGCGGGCAGGAGCTCGACCACGGTGACGGCGCTGCCGAGATCGGCATAGAAGCTCGCGAATTCCATGCCGATGGCGCCGGCGCCGATCACCAGCAGCGATTTCGGCTGCACGGCGGGGACCATCGCCTCCTTGTAGGTCCAGATCGTCTCACCGTCGGGTTCGAGCCCCGGCAGCACCCGCGCCCGCGCGCCCGGTGGCGAGGATGATGTGGGCGGCGCGCACGGTCTCGGCCACCCCGCCTTCCTTGGTCACTTCAAGCGCGCCGGGGCCTGCGAGCCGGGCGTGGCCCTGGATCACCGCGACCCCGTTCTTCTTCATCAGGTACGCGACGCCGCGGGAGAGCTGGTCCGCAACCCCGCGCGAATAGGCGACGACCTTCTCGATATCGACCGAGACCTCGCCCACGCTGATTCCGAAATCGCCGAGCCGGCCGAGCGTGTGGCGGAGCTCCGAAACCCGGAGCAGCGCCTTGGTGGGGATGCACCCCCAGTTGAGGCAGATGCCGCCGAGGCGTTCCCGCTCGACCACGGCGGTCTTGAGGCCGAGCTGGCTCGCGCGGATCGCCGCGACATAGCCGCCAGGGCCGGTGCCGACGATGACGACGTCAAAGGACGCATCCGCCATGATGTCCTCCGGTCTCGTATGCGTGAGGGGCCGGCGAGGCCGGCTCCCGCTAGAGAAGCATGGTGAGCGGGTCTTCGATCAGGCCCTTGAACGCCTGCAGGAACGTGGCGCCGAGGGCGCCATCGACCACCCGGTGATCGACCGAGAGCGTGCACGACATCATGGTGGCGATGGCGAGCGCGCCGTCCTTGACCACCGGGCGCTGCTCGGCGGTGCCGACGGCGAGGATCATCGACTGCGGCGGGTTGATGATCGCCGCGAATTCCTTGATGCCGTACATGCCGAGGTTGGAGACGCTGAAGGTGCCGCCCTGATACTCCTCCGGCGCAAGACCCATCGGCTTGGCCCGGGCGCGTCCGGCGAGCTCCTTCACCTCGGCGGAGATCTCGGCCAGACCCTTGCCGTCCGCGTTGCGCACGATGGGCGTCACCAGCCCGTCCTCGATCGCGACCGCCACCGAGACATCGGCGCTCCCGTATTGGCGGAGCGCGCCATCCACCCAGGATGCGTTGGCGGCCGGGACCTTTCGTAGCGCGAGCGCCGCGGCCCGGATCACGAAGTCGTTGACCGAGAGATTGTAGGCGTCCGAGCGCTCGTTGAGTTGCGCGCGGGTCTCCAGCAGCGCGTCGACCGCGCAATCGACCGTCAGATAGAAGTGCGGGACCTCGCGCTTCGCCTCCTGGAGCCGCTGGGCGATGACCTTGCGCATGGTGCTCGCCGGCGCGTCCCGGTAGGCGGGCACGGGCGGGTGCCGGTGCGCCGCCGCAGGCGCCGCGGCGACGGGGCGGTGCGGCTACTGCAGCAGCAGGCGCGTGCAGCGGCGGCGGCGATGGCCGCCTCGACATCGACCTTCACGATGCGCCCGTTCGGGCCGGTGCCGGCGATCGCCTCCAGCGCGAGGCCGGCCTGCTTCGCCATGCGCCGCGCCAGCGGGCTTGCGAAGATGCGGGCGCCGGGCTCCCGCGCGGCGCGGGCGGCGTCGCCCCATTGCCACCGGGCGCTGGTGCGGCCGGCGCTGTCGCTTGCGGGGCCGGGGCTGCGCTTGCAGCCGGCGCGGGTTCGGCTGCGGGCTCAGCCGGCGCGGCTGCGGGCGCCGCTGCGGCAGGAGCGGCGGATCTCTACGCCGTCGAGGGCCGATGCATCCTCGCCCTCCTCCAGGATCAAGCCGATGACCGCATTTACAGCCACCCCCTCGGTGCCGGCCGGCACCACGATCCTGCCGAGGGTGCCCTCGTCGGTCGCCTCCACCTCCATCGTCGCCTTGTCGGTTTCGATCTCGCACAGGATATCGCCGGCGGCGACCTCATCCCCCTCGCTCTTGAGCCAGCTCGCGACATTGCCCTCGGTCATCGTCGGCGAGAGGGCCGGCATCAGAATCTGGATTGGCATGTCGCCTCCCTAATGGATCGACCGAGACAGTTGAATCCCCGGCCGTTGCTGTTGGATGACGATAGCATGTTCAAATGTCTCGATAAGTTGATCCATCACGAAAAAGGCTCGTGGTTCGAAGCGATCGATTCGAACCACTAGCCTCGGTAGCAGACGCGGCGGACGGCGTTGGCGATATCGGCCGCGCCGGGCAGGGCCGCGGCCTCGAGATTGGCGGCGTAAGGCATCGGCACGTCGGCGCCGGAGACACGGCCGACCGGCGCGTCGAGCATGTCGAACGCATTCTCCATCACGAGCGCCGCGATCTCCGCGCCGATGCCGGCGAAGGGCCAGCCCTCCTCCACCGTGACCAGGCGGTTGGTCTTTTCGACCGAGGCCAGCACCGCCTCGCCGTCGAGCGGCCGGAGCGAGCGCAGGTCGATCACCTCCGCCTCGATGCCCTCTGCGCCAGCGTCTCCGCCGCCTCCACGCGCGGCCGACCATGATCGAGAAGGCGGCGACGGTGACATCGCTGCCCGTGCGCGCAACTGCGGCCTTGCCGATGGGCACCAGATGCTCGCCGTCCGCCGGCACCTCGAAGCTCTGGCCGTAGAGAAGCTCGTTCTCCAGGAAGACCACCGGGTTGGGGTCGCGGATGGCGGCCTTCAGCAGCCCCTTGGCGTCGCCCGCCGAATAGGGCGCGACAACCCGCCAGCCGGGCACGTGGGCGAACCAGCTCGCGTAGCACTGGGAATGCTGCGCGGCGACCCGTGCGGCGGCGCCGTTGGGGCCGCGGAACACCACCGGCACCGGCACCAGGCCGCCCGACATGTAGAGCGTCTTGGCGGCCGAGTTGATGAGATGATCCATCGCCTGCATGGCGAAGTTGAAGGTCATGAACTCGACGATGGGCTTGAGCCCGCCCATGGCGGCGCCCACGCCGATCCCGGCGAACCCGGCCTCGGTGATGGGCGTGTCGATCACCCGGCCAGCGCCGAACTCGTCGAGCAGGCCCTGGCTCACCTTGTAGGCGCCCTGATACTCCGCGACCTCCTCGCCCATGAGGAAGACGTCGGGGTCGGCCCGCATCTCCTCCGCCATCGCGTCGCGCAACGCTTCTCGAACCGTCAGCTGAACCATGGCGGGTCGGCGTCCCTCGCGCCTTTCAGGCGCGCGCCAGGACATCGGCCCCGAGCGAGACCGGGGCGGGCTCCGGCGCGCCTTGAGCGAAGTCGGCGGCGTCGTTGACGATGGCCTTGATCTCCCTGTCGATCTCCTTCAGCGCGTCCTCGTCGGCATGGCCGCCGTCGAGCAGGGCTGGCGGGCTTGCTCGATCGCATCCCGCTCCTTGCGCATCTTGCTGACCTCCTCGCGGCTCCGGTATTTCGCCGGATCGGACATCGAGTGGCCGCGTAGCGGTAGGTCATCATTTCCAGCAGCAGCGGTCCCGTTGCCCGCCCTAAGGCCGGCGACAGCCTCCTCAGTCGCCTGCAACACGGCGGCCACGTCCATCCCGTCGACCCGCCCGCCGGGAATGCCGAAGGCCGCACCCCGCTCGTGCAGGTCGGAGACCGCCGCCGAGCGCTCGACCGAGGTGCCCATGGCGTACTGGTTGTTCTCGATCACGAAGAGGACGGGGAGCTGCCAGAGCGCCGCCATGTTGAAGGCCTCGAACACCTGGCCCTGATTGGCCGCCCCGTCGCCGAAGTAGGTGACGGAAATCCGGTCCGAGGCGCGGTACTTGTGGGCGAAGCCGAGGCCGACGCCGAGCGGCACCTGGGCGCCGACGATGCCGTGGCCGCCGTAGAAGGTGCCGGCGGCGGGGCCTCTCTGTCGCTCGGGCAGAAAACAGGTGCAAAATCGCAGCGCCGCCCTTCTGCCCATTAGGACTCGGTTAACGCCGCCGGCGCGCGCCCGGTGAGACTCGGCGCATGACGCGCTCCTTAGGGCGGGCCTACGTGATCGCCCGCGATCAGCATGTGGGCGTGGCAGCGATAGCCGTGGTAATGACCGAACTCGTCGCGGGCCTGCGCAGCGCGTATTGCACGCCGTGCAACGCAGCGCCTCGGCTGCCCAGATGTAGAGTGTCAGTAAGCCGCGGATCATGCGGCCCATGTCCGTAGAGTGCTGGCTCGCCTTCTCCTCGAGCGCGGAGCTCAGCAGGCATGGATCGCGGAGGCGCGCGATGCAGCGTCTCCGGCGCCATCGGGAAGCAGCCACCCGCCTGAGCGGGCGCAGGCTGTCGCGCTTGCGAGTGCCTCTGCTTGGCGTCGCCTATCTCTCTCTCGCGCCTGCACGGCGGCGTCGCGCGCGCCTACCGTCTCGCAGCACTGCGCGTGGCGCGGAGCCGTGCCGCACGCTAGGTCAAACGCGCCGGGCTGACAAGGGCAAGGCGGCTATTGCTTGCCATGGCAAGAGATAACCGCTGCAGCGTCGGGGTGGCTACTCGTCTTGGTCGGGGCCGGGCTGCGCCGGACGGTCGTGGAACAGGACCTCCTCGTCCCGGATGACCCAGGTTGAGCAGCCGCCGGGCCTCCTGATCGAGCAGGTCGAGGTCGCAGAACTCTCGAGCTCCTGCGCTCCCAGCTGGGAGACGCGCGCGGTCTCCAGCTTGCGCGCTCCGCTCTGGCGCAGTCGCTGCGGCGTACCTTCGGCGCGGGTTCTCTCGACGTCGGCGGAGCGCTCGATCCGGGCATCCCGAGCGCCGCGGTCGCCCTGCACGCTTACTGTGGTAGCCGACATAGACTGAAGGCGCCGCAGCGCGCAGGCTGCAGCATCTGATGGCATCGTCGCGGTCATCGAACGCGCGGTCTCTAATCGCTCGGCCATGGTGCTTCTAGACATCAACCCCTCCGCCGCTGCTGTCGATAGAGACGGTAGTGTCGGGGCGTGGAAAGCGGGCCGCGGACACGTGGTCTGCGCGCGCTTCTAGGCTGGAAGCGTTGCGTTCATCGTCGGTTCGGCAGGTTGCCTGCCTCAACACTCCCCTCCTCCCCCTGTCCTCAGGTCCCTGTGGGCGGAGGGTAAGCAGTGCGGCGATGGCGAGGTTTCTGTCCCTCTGTCCGCCCCTGGGGGCGGAGAGGGTCGGGGTGAGTTGGGGGAGGATGTCTGCGCCGTGCGATCAGGCGCTGCGCGTCAGACTGCCGCTCGGCGTAGCGCGCGGTGTCGTCCAGGCCCTCCTCGATGCGGATGAGCTGGTTGTACTTGGCGTGCGGTCGGTGCGGGACGGCGCGCCGGCCTTGATCAGCCCGCATCCGGTTGCGACCGCGAGATCGGCGATGGTGGTGTCCTCGGTCTCGCCCGAGCGGTGCGACATGACGGCGGCGAAGCCGTTGCGGAGCGCGAGCGATACCGTCTCCAGCGTTTCCGTGAGTGTCCCCACCTGATTGACCTTGACCAGGATCGCGTTGGCCGCGCCTTCCGCGATGCCGCGCCCGAGCCGCGCCGCGCTGGTGACGAACAGGTCGTCGCCGACCAGCCGGACGCGCGCGCCCAGCGCCGCCGTGCACCAGCGCGGCCCAGCCGGCCCAGTCGTCCTCGGCAAGCCCGTCCTCGATGGAGGCGATGGGATAGCGCCCCGCCAGGTCCTCGTAGTAGGCGATCGTCCCGCCCGCATCCAAGGTGCGGCCCTCGCCAGCAAGGCGGTAGGCGCCGTCCCCATAGAACTCGCTCGCTGCCGCGTCGAGCGCGAGGTAGACATCCTCGCCGGGCCGGTAGCCTGCCGCCTCGATCGCCTTCATCAGGTGGCCGAGCGCCGCATCGGTGCCGTCGAGGGCCGGCGCGAAACCGCCCTCGTCGCCGACGTTGGTCGAATGCCCGGCCTCCGAGAGTCGCGCGCCCAAGCTGTGGAAGACCTCGGCGCCCACGCGCACCGCCTCCGCGCGCTTCCGGCGGCGACGGGCATCACCATGAACTCCTGAACATCGATGTTGTTGTCGGCATGGGCCCCGCCGTTGAGGACGTTCATCATCGGCACGGCGAAGACAGAAGAAAGAAGCCGCGACGTCGAGGCGCCGACATAAACGGAATGTTCAGAGCGGCCGTCTCGAGCTCGATCGCCGAGGCGCTCGCGGCGGCGAGACTGACGCCCGAGGATCGCGTTGGCCCCGAGCCGGCCCTTGTTCTCGGTCCCATCGAGGGGCGTCAGCGTGGCATCGAGGCGGGCCTGCTCCGAGGACTCCATGCCGCTCAGCGCAGGGAGCTCTCGTGAGCGTGCGCGCACGGCGCTGACACCCCCTTGCCGCCGAAGCGCGACCCGCCGTTTCGCGCGCTCGCGCTCCTGGGTCTGCCGGTGTCGAGGCGCCGGAAGGAACCGCCGCGCGGCCCTCGGCACCGCTCTCCAGCAGCACATCGACCTCGACGGTCGGATTGCCGCGGCTCTTCCGGCTGTCAATATCTCCGCCGCCACGGATGTCGGTGATCGCACCCATTCTCGGCCCCTCCCCTCGGCACCGGCCGTTCTTGATAGGGGCGACGCCCGGTGCGGGCAAGGGACGATCCCGCAGAGCGGCGGTCGCGCAGGATGAGCCGGATCGTCAGACCCGAATGGTGCAACGACCCCGCGCGCCGCGAGGGACATGGCGCCGCGCAGGCGCGGGCGCCGGTTGCGCATGCGGCTGAATCATGGCACATCACCGCCGCGGCACCGCCGCATGTGGGCGCATAGCTCAGTTGGCAGAGCAGCTGACTCTTAATCAGCGGGTCCTAGGTTCGAGTCCTAGTGCGCCCACCAATCTTTTCAATGGTTTAGGGGGATTTCGACGAAGAGCCAAAATGGCCGTGTCGGCGTTATGTGGGCAATCAGCACGGAGGCTCTAGCCGCTCGATCGCGACTGATCGCATTGTCCAGTTCTTCCTAATCAAGGGGTCGCAGGTTCGAGTCCTGCCGGCGACGCGCCTCAAATCGATAGGTTCACGCAGCGGTTAATGGGTCGCTACGACACGAAAATGCGTCGGGATGTCACCGATATGTCACCCGTACAACGGCCAAAACTAAACTCCGAATGAACGCTTGCGCTCCGACCCTCGCTCCACCACAGGGATTCGTGGTGGGAACAAACGAGATGCTGAGGGCTGCGGTCGGGGCTTACTTCGACGAGCTGCAGAAGGTCCGCGCGTCGGGCGGGGTACCGGACACCGCACCCCTTAGCGCCTCAGTGCACTGACGCCGAGGATGCCCGCTACGGACCCGAAGAGTGAGCTCCACACGCGACTCGACGCTGCTGCGCCGCGAGGTGGAGGAGAAGGTGCTCAAACCCTTCCGCTCGCACGGCTGGTCGGCCGAGGTCGTGCTCGAGCTCGACCGTCACGATTGCATCGAGATTGTCGCCAGCAGAAACGAGGTGGAGACCCGTATTGCAGTGCTCTACGGCAGCGACATCTCGAATTCGCACCACAGGGAGCTCTCGAACAGGGTCGAGCGCATCTTCTCAACCAGTCAACCCCATATGCCGGATGCCTCCGAGCGCGGTGTCGCCGTCCCCGTGGAATCTCTCGACAACTTCTTTGCGTTTCTCGTTGACTTGAGCAAGCAGTTGCAGCCTGAGCACTCTCCATCCGCCGTAGTGCGCCCCAAGCCGCCAAGGGTTCGACGCCTTACGGCGGAAAATCCCCTCGACGCGGTCATCGCGCGCCTGCAACAGTTCACGAGCGAAACGCTCGCCGAATGGAGTTGTCGACGCGCACGGGCGCCGTCGCGGAGAAGCACCCTTTGGAAGCCGCCAGCGGTCGGACAAGGCGACGACGTCGCCTTTTCGATGCGGACGCGCTCTCGACTACATCGTCGCCGCGCCCCGCGACGCACTCACCAGAGGGGCTCGGTCTCTATACGGACTAGATGGCTCTCGCTCAGGCGGAGATGCTGGGCCCTCTCCGTGGGACCGGGCCGATCTGGATAGGGTCGATCGAAGCCATGACACGGAACGGCCACGGCCTCTACACGCTGCCGGCGTCGCACGGCGGGTTCTCCGATATCACGAGTCGGAGTGACTCGAAAACGGTTCTTGCCAGCAGGATGGATGAAATTTTTCTCGGGGCCACAGATATCTCCGCCTATACCGGGAGAAGCCGCCCCGAACACACGGCGGGGAGCTCGGAACGATCACTGCCAGGCATGGTTGATGCTCCCTGACCTGTTCGCATCCATGCCCGAGATCAACGACCTCTAGGCCGAGGTGGTCGGCGGGAGCGCCCGGATGGTTAAGGTAGCTTTTGACCAGGAAGCCAAGCGCCGCCCCCCCAAGGCCCGAGAGGGAACCGCGACCGCAAGGAGGGTCGACAGCACCTAGGGGTGTTGCTCGATGCAGCTCCGGGGCAACGGTTGCCGTTCGAGCGGCTGAGAACCGCCGGATGGCCGCTCGCGGGAACATCGGAACTGGAGGACGACACGACCCAACGGAGGGAAAAGTCTTCGCGCCGAGTGGCATCACGCCCGGCACGAAACGATGTGGCGGTGATGCCGACCAATTCGTCAACGTTCGGAACAACAGCCCCGCGATTGCTTTTTCCGACCTCGGCGGTGCTAAGGGACTACAGGCGATCGCGGTGGTCAACGTAGCGGCTCTCATCATGGCCCGCTAAATGCCGGGGGCATGGCAACGCATCAAAGGGGGACCACGACATAATTGTGCGTCAACGTCCTGGCTGGTTGGGAACGTCTCCTTCCCGAACACTTCCTCGCAAGCATCGCGCGGGGAAACCGCTGCAGAACGGCCAACCGGCAGCTTTTTCGCTGTGAGCTACGACACAAAGATATCGCCTCCAGACTATGGCCCCTTGTCGGTGTGACGCAAGTATGGGCGCGGTTGGCGGCCGACTACTACTGTACGGCGTGGAGCTCTATGCGGCGGTTCGGCTGGCGGCGTGATCGACGAGGGCGCTCGAGCCATCATTGAGCTCGGCGCCGCGCGGCGGTTTGGCATCGACCGTTCGGACGGTGCAGAAGATGCAGAGCTATTCGAGTTGCTCTGCCGCGGGGGTGGCTGGCGAGGGAGCACGAAGCCGGTCAGACTGGATCGGCAGAGCTGGACGGGGTCACCGGCAGCGTCGAGCGAGCTGGAGGCGGACAGACGGGGAGTTCCGGAGCTGGTGCCGCGCAAGCAGCGGCACACGCGCGAGCATCAGGATCTCTTCGAGCGGACCCCTCACATAAGCGCTGCGCGACGCGCACGGGTTCTCAGCGGCGGTTACACAGCCAAGACCAGTGTGAAGACAACTCTGGATGCGGGGATATCAGCTTCGTGTCTCATGCGCGCTGTGTATAGGATCGCCATGAGGACACCTACTGGAACTGACCGCAGCTCAGGTTCTTCTGCGTAAAGCCCGCGAGGACAGCACACAGCAGTAGACGCATCCCTCTGCGTGGTCCGGGCATACCGGTCCGTTCATCGACGCCTGTCGTGGCGGTCCTTGGACTTGGCGGCCAGCTGGTTATCGAGCGACTACCGACCAGACCGGCAGCGCCGTGCGCGGTCATTACCGCAGCAGTCTCATCTCGGACCGCTAAACAACCTCTCTGCACGCGGCCGGCGCCGGGTGCCGCGCGCCGTTGCGTTGCCGGCGTGACTACCCGGGCGGCAGTCCGGCGGTGAGCCCGCCGTCGATCACGAGTGCCGTCCCGGTGACCCAGCGGGCCTCATCGGAGGCCAGATAGAGGAACGCGGCCGCGATCTCGGCGGGTTGGCCCATGCGGCCCAAGGGATGAGCGGCATTGACCGCCGCCCGGCTCGCCTCAGGGTCATCCTGCGCGTCGAAATACGTCAAGACCATCGGCGTTTCGACGAAGCCGGGACAGACGCAGTTCACGCGGATGCCGGTGGCGGCGCCGTCGAGAGCCATGCACTTGGTCAGCATCACGACACCCGCCTTGGCGGCGGAATAGCCGTGTTGGCCGGCCATGCCGATGATTCCCGCGACCGACGCCGTGTTCAAAATAGTCCCGCCGCCGGCTGCGACGAAGCGCGGCCATACCGCCCGGCAGGTCCGATAGATGCTCGAAAGGTCGATGTCGAGCACACGATCCCATTCGTCGGCGGCGAGGGTCTCGACGGTGCCCATCGTCGGAATCGCGGCGTTGTTCACGATAATGTCGAGGCCTTCGAGCGCCTCCCAGGCGCGATCCACCATGGCGGCGACGGACTCGACGTCTCCGACGTCGGCGGCCAAGCCGACCGCCGTTCCTCCCTGGGCGCGGATTGCTTCCGCGTGCTTGTCCGCGCCGGCGCCGTTCAGATCGGCAATCGCGACGGTTGCGCCTTCTGCCGCGAAGCGCTCAGCGGTCGCAGCGCCGATGCCCGAGGCACCGCCGGTCACCAGCGCGCGCTTGCCTGCCAAGCGCATCAACGCGTACTCAATGGGGAGTCGATCGGGGGCATGGGCCGGCGGGGACAATCATTCACGGGAAGACGAGGTTACAGACGCTGCGGTAGAGACGGCAAGGGCAGTTATGTGAGACCTGACCGACGAATGCGCGCTGGGGCGCACATGAGCCCGCTCCGTCATTGCGAATCCGCACCCCTTCAACCGCGAACGGGGTCCGCCAACTCCATTGAACGGGCTTCCGCCAGCGGATAGCATTCCGATCAGGCCCGCGAATGAGGGATCTTCGATCATGGCACACGATCACGCCCATAACGCTCCGCCATCCGAGACGGCGATGAGGGTGAAGGCCCTGGAGACGCTCCTCAACGAAAAGGGCCTGCTCGACCCGGCCGCCATCGACGCCCTGGTGGAGACCTACGAGATCCGCGTCGGTCCGCGCAACGGCGCCAAGGTGGTGGCGCGGGCGTGGACGGACCCGGATTACAAGCAGAGGTTGCTCGCAGACGGCACGAAGGCGATCGCCGAGCTCGGCTTCAGCGGCGTGCAGGGCGAGGACATGGTCGTCGTCGAGAACTCCGACGAGGTGCATAACCTGGTCACCTGCACGCTCTGTTCCTGCTATCCGTGGCCGACTCTCGGGCTGCCCCCCATCTGGTACAAGAGCGCGCCATTCCGGGCCCGCTCGGTCATCGATCCGCGCGGCGTCCTCGAGGAGTTCGGCGTCGAGGTGTCCGAAGACATCGAAGTGCGGGTGTGGGACAGCAACGCGGAGCTCCGTTACCTGGTGCTGCCGCAACGGCCGGCCGGCACGGAGGGAATGAGCGAGGACGAGCTGGCGGCGCTGGTAACCCGCGATTCGATGATCGGCACGGCGCTGGTCGAAGCGCCCGCCAGCTAGCCGGGGCGGAAAGGAGCGCAGCGATGAACGGCATTCACGACATGGGCGGCATGCAATGCATGGGCCCGATCGTTCGCGAAGAAAACGAGCCTCAGTTCCATGAGTCTTGGGAGGGCCGGGTCTTCGGCATGTTCTTCACCAACTTTGCCGAAGGCCACTTCAACGTGGATATGTTCCGCCACGCCATCGAGCGGATGGGCCCGGCCGAGTACCTCGAAACCTCGTATTACGAGCATTGGCTGCACGCCTACGAGACCCTGCTGGTGGAACGCGGCGTGCTGACCGAGGCCGAAATCGAAGAGAAGATCGCGAGCCTTCGCCAGGCGGGAGAGTCGTGATGCCAGCTCTGACACCGGATTTGGTTCCAGGTCTGGTCGCTGGAGGCGCTTCATGCCGGATGGATGCGGACGTCGCACCCAGGTTCAAGGTGGGGGACACGGTCACGGCCCTCAACGTGAACCCGGTGTCCCATACCCGGCTGCCGCGCTACATCCGGGGCAAGACCGGAACGATTGCGCGCGATCATGGCGTTTTCGCATTTCCGGATACGTCGGCCGCATCGGGCACCCACAGCGACCCTCAGCATGTCTACAGCGTGCGCTTCGAAGGGAGCGAGCTCTGGGGCGACCACGCCAACGCGAACGCCAGCGTCTATATCGACCTCTTCGACGATTACCTCGATAGCGCATGAGCGCCGCGCACTCGGCCGACGATCTGCCGCAGCTCCCCTGGGAAGCCGAAGACGGGCCGGTCTTCAAGGAGCCGTGGGAGGCGGCAGCTTTCGCCATGGCGGTGCGGCTGTCGGAGGCCGGGAAGTTCACCTGGTCGGAGTGGGTCGACTACCTCTCGGCCGAGATAGCAGCGGCGAAGCAGAGAGGCGATCCCGACCTCGGGGATCGCTATTACGAACATTGGCTGAGCGCGCTCGAAAAGCTCGTGATCGACAAGGGGCTCGGTTCGGAAGCGGAGCTTGCCGGCCTCAAGGACGACTGGACCGAGGCGACCATCCACACCCCCCACGGCCAGCCGATCGAGTTGAAGAGGCGCACCCCCGCCGATTGACGCGACGGGTAACGCCTGCGACCTAAACAACCCGTACCGCGTCGCCCCTCTTCACCATGCCGCCCTGAATGACGAAGGCATAGACGCCCGCGCACGGGAGCGCTTCGCCGTCGAGCACGGGGACGGGAAGCGTGTTGTGCTCGACGATGGTGCGGAGAACCTGCGGATCCTTCGCGAGATCCTGCTGCGCAAGGGTCGGGACGGAGCAACGTGGCGTCGGGTCGGAGATGCGGAGCCGCACCTCGTCGCCGATCGCGAGCTCGCGCCCGACCCAGTCGTTCTCGACGAAGCCTTGCTCTCCCTCTGGTGTGGCGATCGTCACATTGGGGCGGAAGCGGCGCGCATTGAACGCCGACTCAGGACGGAGCTCGGCGAGGCGCGCCATCGTCGCCGTGGTTATGAGATGAAGCGCCGCATAGTCGGAGAACCGGCCTGCCATCATCAGCTCGCCGATATCGACGATTGTTTCTTCCTCGGCGAGCGGGTCGAGGGCGTTCGAGGCTGGGCGCTTCCGGGCGCTCCGTCGTGAGCGTGACCGGCCGCCCCAGGGTTTCGGAGAGGCGGGCATCGGGTCACCGCCATCGCTGGCGACCGCCGTGCCGTCGGGCCAGAGGATGCGCACCGGGGCAGCGGAGCGCCGGCCTGCGGGGTCTGACGAAATCGGAGGCGAGCGCCATCAGCTCGGCCCACTTCTTCGGGGTCTTGGCGCTCCCAACCCGGCCGCTCGAGCGGTCGATTACGGCATAGGCACGATCGCCCAGAATGCCGCCCTCGGTGACCTGCGCCTCGTCGAGCTTTGTGCCCGCCATCGACTTGACCGGATAGCGCCAGAGCGCCTTGACCGTGCCGCCGTTCGTGCCCTGCGATGCCATGCTCTCTCTCCCCGCGCCAACGAACTGCCCTGCCAGGCCGTCCTATACCAAGCGGCCGACGTCCTGGCACTCCCCATCAAGGGTCGAGCAGATCGTGGCTCCGGTGCCAGTCCTCCAGCGACTGATCGGGATACTCGGGAAAGTGCGGGTCGCGCTTGCCCGACGGGACCCTCACCCAGCCCGGCGCGTAGTCGAGCATGATGTGGCAGCGCTCCGGCGGCGCCGGTAGCGGTGTGTCGATGGCCGACGCGAAGGGGTGGATCAGTTCGGGCCAGCGCGGGTCCCAGACCCAGAGCGCACTGCCGCAGCGGCCGCAGAACCGCCGCTCGGCCGGGCTTTCGCTGCCGTCCTCAAGCCGCGCCCGATAGACCCTCAGGTGACGCTTGCCCCGCACGTTGAGCGCTTCCGCCTCGCCGCCGAGATTGATGGCGTAGCCGCCGCCACCTGCGGTCTTTCGGCAGATCGAGCAGTAGCACTGCATGTAGGGACACGGCGTCTTCGACTGGAGCGAAAATTGAACCGCGCGACAGTGGCAGGAGCCTTCGAGCACCATGGGATCTCTCACGGAGTGGTTCGGCGTTGCGAACATTTGAGCACAGTTTTGCGCGCGCTCCTCGGTCGAATCCGCTGAATGATGCGCCGAGCCTGGACGGCTTCCAGCATGCCCTGTCGCAGGCAACGCCCCAAGGCGCCTCGCCGACGCTGCCTCGAAGAAAATTGAACGGAATTCCGCCCCCTTCCCATCCCACGACCTAGACAATTCAAGCGTTGGAAGGAATAATTTCGCCTCTTCGGAGACCTTCAGCCTTGAACAGCAAGTCGCCCACAAGCAGCGAACTCGAGACACCCGCGCCGGTCGAGCTCGCCTTCTCGCGCGACGAATACGCGGCACGGATCGCGAAGACCCGCCGGGCGATGGACGAGAGAGGGCTCGATCTGCTCGTCGTCTCCGACCCCTCGAACATGGCGTGGCTGACCGGCTACGACGGTTGGTCGTTCTACGTGCACCAGTGCGTGCTCCTCGCGCTCGAAGGCGATCCGGTGTGGTTCGGGCGCGGCATGGACGCCAACGGGGCAAAGCGCACCGTGTTCATGGCGCACGACGACATCGTCGGCTACGCGGACCACTACGTGATGTCCACCGAACGCCATCCGATGGACTACTTGAGCGAGGTCATCGCCGCGCGTGGGTGGGAGCGATCGCGGATCGGCGTCGAGATGGACAACTACTACTTCAGCGCCGCCGCGTACCGCTCGCTGGAGACCCATCTGCGCGATGCGACGCTGCTCGACGCGACGGGGTTGGTGAACTGGCAACGGCTCGTGAAGTCGGAGACCGAGATCGCCTACATGAGGAACGCGGCACGCATCGTGGAGAAGATGCACGCGCGCATCATGGAGGTGGTCGAGCCCGGTATGCGCAAGAACGAGCTGGTCGCCGAGATCTACCACGCGGCCATCACCGGCGTAGAGGCGCCGGCGGCGACTATCCCGCCATCGTGCCGATGCTCCCCACCGGCGTCGATGCATCGGCGGCGCACCTCACGTGGGACGACAAGCCGATGCGGGCGGGCGAGGCGACGTTCTTCGAAATTGCGGGCGTCTACAAACGCTACCACTGCCCGCTCTGCCGCACGGTTTTACCTGGGTCGGCCGTCCGCTCGCGAGCGCAACGCAGAAAGCGCACTGCTGGAAGCCATCGAGGCGGGACTCGATGCCGCGAGACCGGGGAACCTGTGCGAGGACATCCACCGCGCGTTCTCGGAGTCGCTCGCGCGGCACGGCCTGACGAAGGAGAGCCGGTGCGGCTACTCCATCGGGCTCAGCTACCCGCCCGACTGGGGCGAGCGCACCATCAGCCTGCGCCCAGGAGACCGCACCGTGCTTGAGCCGAACATGACCATCCACTTCATGCCCGCGCTCTGGTTCGAAGACTGGGGTCTCGAAATCACCGAGAGCATTCGCATCACGGAAACCAGCGCTGAAACCCTCGCGAACTGGCCCCGCGAATTACAGGCGAAGGCGTAAGCCGCAACCTGCCTACGCCCGCGGATCGGGCTACGCCTCCGGAGGATCGTCGCCGGGCTGTTTGCCGTAGGTCTTCATGATCTCCAGCACCTCGGCCATCTTCCGCTGAAGATGACGTTGGGCTCGTTGCCGGTGGCGGCGCCGATGGCGAGCGTGCGGCAATAGAGCTCCGCCAGATACTCGACCTCGACGAGCAGATTGACGCAGGCATCGGGCGTCTCGCCCAAGACGACGACGCCGTGATTCTGCAACAGGCAGGCCCTGCGATCCTTGAGCGCAGGCACGGCGACGTCGGAGAGCGCCTGGGTCGTGGGCGTCCGGTAAGGCGCGCAGCGAATGTTCGTGCCGCCCGCAGCGGCGACCATGTAAATGAACTGCAGGGATTTCCATCCCGTGCACGGCGAGCGCGGTGCAATGGACGGCATGGCTGTGCAGAACCGCGTCGACCTCCGGCCGTGTCGTGAGGATATCCCGGTGCAACCGCCATTCGCTGGTGGGGCGCCGGGTGCCCTGGTGGCTGCCGTCGAAGTCCATATCCACGATGTCTGCAGGCGTGATCGCGTCGTAATCGAGGCCGGACGGCGTGACCAGGAAGCGCCCGCCGACCCTGTATCCGACATTGCCCGAGGTCCCGTGATTGAGGCCAAGCGCGTTCATCCTGCGGGCAGCGTCGATGACGGCGCGCCGCGCCTTGAGATGCGTCGATCTCGTCCGGGGCATGGAAGCCGACCGGTGGGCTCTGCTAGCGCCCGCCCGCCGCGCCGGCGTCTTCGAGGGCGGCAACGATGGCCGCCGTGATGGCGTCGATGCCGCCCGAGCCGTCGATCCTGGCGAAGCGCCCGCCGGCCTCGTAGTGGGGGATGATCGGGGCCGTCTGCTCGCGATAGGCGGCTAGACGCGCGGTCATGGTTTCGCGATTGTCATCCGCCCGCCGCGTGAAGTTCGCACCCCGGCACTGATCGCAAACGCCCTCGGTGCTGGGCCGGTTGAATTGGTCGTGATAGCCGGCGCCGCAGTCGGCGCAGGAGAACCGTCCGACGATGCGCTCGATCAGCGCCTCCTCATCGACCTCGATGGCTACCACCTTGTCGAGCGCAAGCCCGCGCTCGGCCAGCATGCAGTCCAGTGCGTCGGCCTGCGCCACCGTGCGCGGGAAGCCGTCGAGGATGAACCCGCTGGCGCAGTCCGGCTGCTCGATCCGCTCGGCGATCAGGGCGACCATCAGGTCGTCCGGCACAAGCTCGCCGGCCTCCATGATCGCCTTGGCCTCGATACCGAGCGCGGTGCCCGCCTTCGCCGCCGCCCGCAGCATCTCGCCCGTGGAGATCTGAACGATGCCGAAGCGCTCGACCAAACGTTGTGCCTGCGTGCCCTTGCCCGCCCCCGGTGGGCCGAGAAGGATCAGGTTCAACGCCGGCTCCCCCTCAGCTTCGCCTTCTTGATCAGTCCCTTCGTACTGATGCGCGAGCAGATGGGACTGGATTTGCCCCACCGTATCCATGGTGACGGTGACGACGATGAGCAGACTCGTGCCCCCGAAATAGAACGGCACCGCATATTGCGAAATCAGAAGCTCAGGCAAGAGGCTCACGGAAGTGAGATAGAGCGCGCCCCAGAAGGTCAACCGGGTCAGCACATAGTCGAGATATTCCGCCGTGTTCTTGCCCGGACGGACTCCGGGTATGAAGCCGCCGTTCTTCTTCAAATTGTCGGCCGTATCTTCCGGATTGAAGACGACGGAGGTGTAGAAGAACGTGAAGAAGATGATCGCCGCCGCATAGATGATTATGTAGATGGGCTGGCCGCGCCCGAGATAGCTGGTCAGCGCCGTCAGCCACTCGGGCCCGGAGCCCGCGTTGATGCTGAGCGCGGTGATCGGCAGCAGCAGGATCGAGCTTGCAAAGATCGGCGGGATCACGCCGGCGGTGTTGACCTTCAACGGCAGATGGGTGCTCTCGCCGCCGAACATCCGCCGCCCCACCTGGCGTTTGGGGTATTGCACGACGATTCGTCGCTGCGCCCGCTCGATGAAGACGATGAAACCAATGACGGCGACCGCCATGACGAAGAGCGCGATGATCACGACTGCGGAGATCGCACCGGTGCGGCCGAGCTCCAGCGTGCTCGCGAGCGCGCCCGGCAGCTCCGCCACGATGCCGGCGAAGATGATGAGCGAGATGCCGTTGCCGACCCCTCTGGCGGTGATTTGCTCGCCGAGCCACATCAGGAAGATCGTGCCGCCGGTCAGCGTCACCACCGTGGTCAAGCGGAAGAAGCCACCCGGATCCAGCACCAGATCGCCGCTCTGGCCGCTGTAGCCCTCGAGGCCTGAGGAGATGCCGAAGGCCTGCAGCGCGGCGAGGAAGACGGTGCCGTAGCGGGTGTACTGATTGATCTTCTTGCGCCCGGCCTCGCCTTCCTTCTTGAGCTGGGCGAGATGCGGCGAGACCGTCGTCATCAGCTGAATGATGATCGCCGCCGAGATGTACGGCATGATGTTGAGCGCGAAGATCGTCATGCGCCCGAGCGCGCCGCCGGCGAACATGTTGAACATGCCGAGGATACCGCCGGCCTGCTGCTGGAACACCTCGTCGAGCACCACCGGGTCGATCCCGGGGATCGGGATGTAGGTGCCCAACCTGGTAGATGATCAGGGCGCCGAGCGTGAAGAGCAGGCGCTTCTGAAGCTCCTTCGCCTTGGCGAAGGCCCCGAAATTGAGGTTCGCAGCGAGTTGTTCGGCTGCCGAAGCCACGTTCGTCAGGCGTCCTTTGCCGTTTCCTCGGCCGTTGTTTCGGCCTTGGCGGGCGCGCTGAGGGTCACCGAGCCGCCGGCGGCCTCGACCGCAGCGATGGCGGCCTTCGAGGCGCCGGTCACCTCGACGATGACGGCGCTCTCGATCCGGCCCTTGGCGAGAAGGCGCACGCCGTGACGCCCGCGCGTGAGCCCGACAGCGGCCAGCGCGGCCTCGGTCACGGGCGCACTTGCGTCGAGACGCCCCTGCTCAATCGCCTCCTGCAAGCGGCCGATGTTGACGGTCTCGAAGGTTTTGCGGAAGCGGGCATTGGTGAACCCCCGCTTGGGCAGCCGCCGGTAAAGCGGCATCTGGCCGCCCTCGAATCCCTTGATGGCAACGCCGGCTCGCGACCTTCTGGCCCTTGTGGCCGCGCCCCGAGGTCTTGCCGCGACCGGAGCCGATGCCGCGCCCGAGCCTGCGGCCCTTCTTGGCCGCGCCGGCGCGGTCCGCGAGTTCATTCAGCCTCATCACTCCGCCTCCGCGTCCACCGCCTCGGCCCGCACGAGGTGCGAAATCTTGTCAATCATGCCGCGCACGGCAGGCGTATCTTCAAGCACGCGGCTGCGGTGCATCTTGTTGAGGCCGAGACCGACCAGGGTCGCCCGCTGATCCGCCGGCCGGCCGATCGGGCTGCCGATCTGGTGACCCGCACCTGGGCTCGGCGCCTTGCTCCCAGCCATGGCCTACTCCTGCACCGTCCGCTCCTTGGCGGACTCGTCCTGGCCGAAGATCTGGCTCACCGTGCGATTGCGCTTGGCGGCGACGGCGCGGGGAGAGTAGCAGCGCCCGAGCGCATCGAAGGTCGCCTTGACCATGTTCTGCGGGTTCGACGATCCCACCGACTTGGCGACCACGTCCTTCACGCCCAGCATCTCGAACACGGCGCGCATCGGGCCGCCGGCGATGATCCCGGTGCCAGGCGGCGCCGCGCGGGATAATCACCTTGCCTGCCCCGAAGCGGCCCTGCACGTCGTGGTGCAGCGTGCGTCCTTCGCGAAGCGGCACGCGAACCATGCGGCGCCTGGCCTGCTCGGTGGCCTTGCGGATCGCCTCCGGCACCTCCCGCGCCTTGCCCGAGCCACCGCCCACGCGCCCGCGCTGGTCCCCCACGACGACGAGCGCCGAAAAGCCGAACCGCCGCCCGCCCTTCACAACCTTGGCGACGCGGTTGATGCTGACCAGCTTGTCCAGCAGTTCGGGTTCATCGCGGTCCCGCCCGCGGCCGCCGCGGTCCCTGTCCATGGATGGTCGTGCCATATCGGGCTCTTCCCCTTAGAAAGAGAGGCCGCCTTCGCGGGCCGCCTCGGCAAGCGCTTTCACACGCCCGTGATACTGATACCCGCCACGGTCGAAGATGATCTCCTTGTGACCGGCCGCCAGCGCGCGCTCTGCGATGAGTGTGCCGACGCGCCCCGCGGCCGCGCGGTCCCCGCCGCTCTCGCTGCGCAGCGCGCTCTCCATCGTCGACGCGGCGGCCACGGTCCTGCTCTCTCTATCGTCGATGAGTTGGGCATAAATGTGGCGGTTGGAGCGGAAGACCGTGAGTCGCGGCCTGCCGGCGCCGGCGGTGCGCAGCCGGAAGCGAACCCGCTGCTTCCGCTTATCGAAATCGCTCCTGCTCATCGCTACTTCTTCTTGCCCTCTTTGCGCCGGACGTATTCGCCGACATAGCGAATGCCCTTGCCCTTGTAGGGCTCGGGCTTGCGGAAAGCACGAATCTCGGCGGCGACCTGGCCGACCGCCTGGCGGTCGGAGCCGGCGACCCTGATCGCCGTCGGCCGTTCGCACGTGATCTCGATGCCATCGGGAATCGGGTAGCGCACCCTGTGGCTGTAGCCGAGATCGAGCGTGAGCGTTCGGCCCTCGACCGCGGCCCGGTAGCCGACGCCCTCGATCTGCAGGTTCTTGAGGAAGCCCTGGCTCACACCCACGACCATGTTGTTGATCACGCTCCGGGTCAGCCCCCACATCTGGCGGGCGCGCTTGCTCTCGCCCAGCGGCGTGACAGAGACCTGGCCGTTGTCGAGCGCGGCGCTCACCTCCGGCGCGATGGTGGCTTCGAGGCGGCCCAGCTTACCGCTCACGGAGACCGCCGCGCCGTCGATGGTCACCTCGACGCCTTCGGGGATGGGGACCGGATTCTTGCCGACGCGAGACATCTCAGAACACCCGGCAGAGCACTTCGCCGCCGACATTCTGCTTGCGCGCCTCATTGTCGGAGAGCACGCCGCGCGGCGTTGAGAGAATGGAAATCCCTAGTCCGCCGAAATACCGGGGCAGGCCCTTGATGCCTGAATAGACCCGCCGCCCTGGCTTCGATATCCGCCGAAGCTCGGCAATCACCGGCCGGCCTTCATGATATTTCAGCTCGATCGAGAACGCCGGCTTGCCGGTATCCGATTCCGCTGCCGCGTAGCCGCGGATGTAGCCCTCGCGCTTGAGAACATCGAGCACGGAACCGCGCAGCTTGGACGCCGGCGACGCGACGGAGGTCTTGCGTGCCTGCTGCCCGTTGCGAATACGGGTCAGCATGTCCGCTAGAGGATCGGTCATCATGGCGTGCGCCTCACCAGCTCGATTTCACCATTCCGGGCACCTGGCCCGCCGAGGCCAGCTCCCGGAGCGCAATACGCGACAGCCCGAACTTGCGGTAGTTGCCGCGCGGCCGGCCGGTCAGCCCACAGCGGTTCCGCACCCGCACCTGCGCCCCGTTGCGCGGCAGCTGCGCGAGCTTGAGCTGCGCCGCGAAGCGTTCCTCCGCCGGGAGCGAGCGGTCGCGCACGATGGCGCGCAGGTCTGCCCGCTTGGCCGCATCCCGCTTCGCCATCTGCTGGCGCCGCTTGTTCTTCTCGATCGTGCTCTTCTTCGCCATCTTTCAGCCCGGCTCCTCCGCGCTCACTGGCCGACGAACGGCATCTGAAAGCCGGCAAGCAGCGCGCGGCCCTCATCATCGGTCCTCGCCGTCGTGCAAATGACGACGTTCATACCCCGCACCTGATCGACCTTGTCGTAGTCGATTTCGGGAAAGACGATCTGCTCCTTGAGGCCTAGCGCATAGTTGCCCCGGCCGTCGAACGCGCGCCCGGAAAGGCCGCGAAAGTCGCGCACCCGGGGCAGCGCAATTGTGATCAGCCGGTCGAGGAACTCGTACATCCTCTCGCGGCGGAGCGTCGTCTTGCAGCCGACCTGCATACCGGCACGCACCTTGAACGCGGCGACAGACTTGCGCGCCTTGGTGATGATCGGCTTCTGGCCCGCGATCAGGGTCATGTCCTGAACCGCGGCCCCGATCTTCTTGTTGTCGGTCACCCCTTCGCCACGCCCATGTTGAGAATGATCTTCTCGAGCTTGGGCGCCTGCATGAGATTGGTGTAGCCGAACTGCTCTATCAGCTGGGGCCTGATCTCGCTCTCGTAGAGCAGCCTGAGCCGGCTCTGCCCGTTCGACTCGCCGTTTGCCCCAGCGTTCGACTGGCCGTTCGTCTCAGACATCGATCACTTCCCCCGAGCGGGCCGCGACACGCACCTTGCGCCCGTCCGCGAGCCTCTTGTAGCGAACACGGGTGGGCCGGTCGCTTTCGGGATCGATCAACGCCACGTTCGAGATGTGGATCGGCGCCTCCCGCTGGACGATGCCGCCTTGCGGATCGGTCTGCGTCGGCTTGACGTGGCGCTTGGTCACGTTGACGCCCCTCGACGAGCACGCGGTCGGTCTTGGTCACCACTCTCAGCACGGCGCCACGCTTGCCCTTGTCTCGCCCGGTGAGGACGATGACCTCGTCATCTTTGCGTATTTTTCGCTTGCGCATGGCGGCTCACAACACCTCGGGCGCGAGTGAGATGATCTTCATGTACTGGCGCTGACGGAGCTCGCGGGTCACCGGCCCGAAGATGCGGGTCCCGATCGGCTCTCCCTGCGCGGTGATGAGCACAGCCGCATTGCGGTCGAAGCGGATCGCGCTGCCATCCGGGCGCCGGATCTCTTTCGCGGTCCGCACGATGACGGCGCGGTGGAGCTCGCCCTTTGCGCACCTTGCCGCGCGGGATTGCCTCCTTGACGGTGACGACGATCGTGTCGCCGACCGAGGCGGTCCTGCGCTTCGAGCCGCCGAGCACCTTCACGCACTGCACGCGCCTGGCACCGGAATTGTCGGCGACGTCCAGATTCGTCTGCATCTGAATCATGGCTCCGACCCTTCCGCTGCCTGCCGTGACGCTCAGCGCTGCTCGGCGCCGGCATCGTCGAACACGATCCAACGCTTACGCTTGGAGATGGGGGCACACTCGCGAATCTGCACGATGTCGCCGACCTTGTGCTTGTTGCCGTCGTCGTGCGCGGCGTAGCGCTTGGGAGCGGCGCACGACCTTCTTGTAGAGCGGGTGCATGACGCGGCGGTCGACCCGCACGATGACGGTCTTTTCCGCCTTGTCGCCGACCACGGTGCCCCGCATCACACGGCGCGGCATGTCAGCTCTCCTTCACCCATTTCTCTCACCCTCAGGCCTCGCCGCCGGAAGCGCGCCTGCGCTCGGCAACGATCGTCTTGATGCGGGCCACGTCGCGTCTGACGGCGCGCATCCGTGCGGTATTCTCCAGCTGGCCCGACGCCCGCTGGAAGCGCAGGTTGAACGCCTCCTTCTTCAACGCGAGCAGCATCGTCTTCAGCTCGTCATCGGTCTTGAGGCGGGTCTCGACGCCGTTCATCACGTCGCCCCTTCGCCGAGCCGCGTGATCAGCTTGGTGCGCACCCTGAACTTTGCGGACGCACGCCGGAAGGCCTCTTCCGCCACCGCGCGCGGCACACCGTCGACCTCGAACATGATGCGCCCGGGCTTGACCCGCGCAACCCAGTACTCCGGCGAGCCCTTGCCCTTGCCCATGCGGACCTCGGCGGGCTTGGTGGAGACGGGCACGTCCGGGAACACGCGGATCCAGATCCTGCCGGCACGCTTCATGTGCCGGGTGATCGTACGCCGCCCGGCCTCGATCTCGCGCGCCGTCATCCGGCCCGGCGTGATCGCCTTCAGTCCGTAGGCGCCGAAATTGAGCTGCGTCCCGCCCTTGGCATGGCCATGGATGCGGCCCTTGTGGGCCTTGCGGTACTTGGTGGATTTCGGCTGCTGCATGATCCGGTTCCAGTCCCGGCCCTAGCGGGGCGTGGCCTGCTCCATGGCGCGCTTGTCCTGCGCCATGGGGTCGTGCGCCATGATCTCGCCCTTGAACACCCAGACCTTGACCCCGCAGGTGCCGTAGGCCGTGCGTGCCGTGGCGAGCCCGAAATCGACGTCGGCCCTGAGCGTGTGGAGCGGGACCCGGCCCTCGCGATACCACTCGGTTCGCGCGATCTCAGCGCCGCCCAGCCGGCCGCCGCAGTTGATGCGGATGCCTTGCGCGCCGAGCCTGATCGCCGATTGCACCGCCCGCTTCATGGCGCGCCGAAAGGCCACCCGGCGCACCAGCTGCTGCGCGATGTTCTCGGCCACCAGCTTGGCCTCGATCTCGGGCTTGCGAATCTCGACGATGTTCAGGTGGACATCGCTCCGCGTCATCTTGGTGACGTCGGTGCGGAGCCGCTCGATGTCCGCGCCTTTCTTGCCGATCACGACGCCCGGCCGCGCGGTGTGGATGGTGATGCGCGCCTTCTTGGCCGGGCGCTCGATGACAATGCGCCCGATGCCCGCCTGGCTCAGCCGCTTGAAGAGGAATTGCCGGATCTGCAGATCCTCGTGCAGCAGCTGGGCATAGCCGTCGTCGGCATACCAGCGCGAGTCCCAGGTGCGGTTGATGCCGAGGCGGAGCCCGACGGGATTGACCTTCTGGCCCATCAGGCCCCCTTCGCGCGTTCGCGCACCACGATGGTGAGATGGCTGAACGGCTTTATCACGCGCCCCGTCCGCCCGCGGGCTCTCGGCCGCCAGCGCTTCATCACCAGACCCTTGCCGACTGTCGCTTCGGCGACGACGAGCCGGTCCACGTCCAGCTCGTGATTGTTCTCCGCGTTCGCGATCGCCGACTGCAAGCACTTGCGCACGTCGCCGGCGATGCGGCGGCGCGAGTTGGCGAGCGTGATGAGCGCCTCGTCCACCGGGCGTCCGCGTATGGTCGCGCTGACCAGGCCGAGCTTCTGCGGGCTGATCCGGAGGTTCCGGATCTTGGCCTGGGCTTCGGTCTCACCCAGCCGCCGGGGACGTGCCAACTTGCCCATGGTCAGCCCCGCCGCACTCTCTTGTCGCCGGCATGGCCGTGGAAGACCCGCGTCGGCGAAAACTCGCCGAACTTGTGGCCGACCATGTTCTCGTTGACCAGCACCGGCAGAAACTTGCGCCCGTTGTAGACGCCAAAGGTGAGGCCCACGAACTGCGGCAGGATCGTGGACCGCCGCGACCACGTGCGGATGATATCCTTGCGGCCGCTCGCCCGCGCCTGCTCGGCCTTCTTGAGAAGATAGCCGTCGACGAAGGGGCCCTTCCATACGGAACGCGCCATTGACTGTCCCCCGCCCTATTTCTTGCCCCGACGCCGCATGATGAAGCGGTCGGTTCTCTTGTTGCTCCGCGTGCGCTTGCCCTTGGTCGGCACGCCCCAGGGGGTGACCGGATGCCGCCCGCCCGAGGACTTCCCCTCGCCGCCGCCGTGGGGATGGTCGACCGGGTTCATGGCGACGCCACGCACCGACGGCCGACGACCTCTCCAACGCATCCGGCCCGCCTTGCCCTGATTGGTGTTCTGGTTATCGGGGTTGGAGACCGCGCCGATGGTGGCCATGCAGCGCGCATGGACCATCCGCTGCTCGCCGGATGGCAGCCGGAGCAGGGCGTAGCCCTGGTCCTTGCCGACCAGCTGCACGTAGTTGCCGGCGGAGCGTGCGATCTGGCCGCCCTTCCCCGGCTTCATCTCGACATTGTGGATGATGGTGCCGACGGGGATGTTGCTCATCGGCATCGCGTTGCCGGGCTTGATGTCGCAGCGATCGCCGGAGACCACCTTATCGCCCGGCGAGACCCGCTGCGGGGCCAGGATGTAAGCCTGCTCGCCGTCTTCATAGCGGACCAGCGCGATGAAGGCCGAGCGGTTGGGGTCGTACTCAAGCCGCTCCACCGTCGCCGGCACGTTGAATTTGCGGCGCTTGAAGTCGATCTTGCGGTAGCGGCGCTTGTGGCCCCCGCCGCGGTGGCGCATGGTGATGCGGCCGTCGCTGTTGCGCCCACCCTTCTGGCTGAGCCCCTCGGTGAGCGCCTTGACCGGCTTTCCCTTCCAGAGATCGGAGCGGTCCACCAGGACGAGCTGGCGGCGCCCCGGCGTGGTCGGCTTGAAGTGCTTGAGAGCCATCTGCCTAAAGCCCAGTCATCACGTCGATCGTATCGCCCTCGCCGAGCGATATCGTTGCTTTCTTCCAATCCGAGCGCTTGCCAAGCCGGCCGCCGCGGCCCCGCTTGACCTTGCCCTTGACCATGCTCGTGTTGACCTTGCGCACCTTGACCTCGAACAGGCCTTCGACGGCCTCCTTGATTTGGGCTTGGTTGCGCCGGTACGCACCTTGAAGGTGACCTGGTTGTGTTCCGAGCCCTGGGTCGACTTCTCGGTCACCACGGGACCGAGGATCGTGTCGTACCAGCGCTCTTTGGGTTCCGTGCTCATGTCAGCCGCGCCTGCAGAGTCTTCCACCGCCTTGCGGGTCAGCACCAGGCGATCGCGGCGGAGGATGTCGTAGACATTGGCACCCATCTGGGGGAGCACCTGAACCCCGGTCAGATTGCGAGCCGCTCTGGCGAAACCGTTATCGATCTCGTCGCCATCGATTATCAGCGCCGACGACCAACCCAAACCTGCGAGCCGCTCGGCAAGAACACGGGTCTTGGCCGAGCCGAGGTCGAGGGAGTCGACGATCAAGAGCTTGCCGTCGGACTGCTTGCTGGAGAGCGCGGACTTGAGCGCGAGCTTGCGGACCTTCTTGGGCAGCTTGTGCGCGTGATCGCGCAGCACAGGGCCAAATATCGCCACGCCGCCCCGGTGGTGCGGCGCCCGGCGCGAGCCTGCACGGGCGCGGCCCGTGCCCTTCTGCTTGAAGGGCTTGCGCGTGGACCCACGGATCTCCGCGACCGACTTGGTCTTGTGCGTGCCGGCGCGCCGCTTCGCGAGCTGCCAGCGTACCGTGCGGTGCATCAGGTCGGGCCGCACGGCCACGCCGAAGACGTTGTCGGCGAGTTCGATCTTGCCGACCTTCTTCGCGTCGAAGTCGATGACGTCGACCTTCACGAGGACTCCTCCTCACCGCCGTCGGCAGCATCTTCGTCGCCGCTCTCCGCCGCCGCCCTCAACTGCGGGCGCAGTCTCTTCAACCACCTCCGGTTCAGACTCCTCCAGGAGGCCCGCCGGGAACGGAACGTCGTCCGGCAGGCGGCGCTTCTTCGCATCCGACAGAAGCACGACGCCGCCCTTCGGGCCGGGGACGCCGCCCTTCACCATGATCAGGCCTCGCGCCGCATCCGTCGCCACGACCTCGAGGTTCTGCACGGTCGCGCGCGCATTGCCGAGTTGGCCCGCCATCTTCTTGCCCTTGAACACCTTGCCGGGGTCCTGGCACTGGCCGGTCGAGCCGTGGGAGCGGTGCGAGACGGAAACGCCGTGGCTCGCGCGCAGGCCGCTGAAGTTGTGCCGCTTCATCGCGCCGGCGAAGCCCTTGCCGATGGAGGAGCCGCCGCATCGACGAACTGCCCGGCAGCGAAGTGGTCGGCGCCGAGCGTGGCACCCACATCCACGAGCGCATCCTCGCTGACGCGGAATTCGATCAGATGGCGCTTGGGCTCGATCCGGGACTTCGCGAAGTGGCCGCGCAGGGCGCGGGAGGTATTCTTGACCTTGACGCGGCCGGCGCCGAGCTGCAGGGCGACATAACCGCCCTGACCCTGGGTCCGCTGGGCAATAACCTGGCAGTTGTCGATGCGCAGCACGGTCACCGGCACATGCTCGCCGGCGTCGTTGAAGACGCGCGACATGCCGAGCTTCTCGGTAATCACCCCCGTGCGCCTGCGCGCTGCCGCCTGGCCTGCCATAACGCCCTCCTACAGCCTGATCTCGACATCGACCCCGGCGGCGAGGTCCAACTTCATGAGCGCATCGACGGTCTGCGGCGTGGGATCGACGATATCGAGAAGCCGCTTGTGGGTGCGGATCTCGAACTGCTCACGCGACTTCTTGTCGATATGGGGCGAGCGCAGCACCGTGTACTTCTCGATCCTGGTCGGCAGCGGGATCGGGCCGCGCACCTGTGCGCCGGTACGCTTGGCCGTATTCACGATCTCGCTCGTCGACGCGTCGAGCACGCGGTGATCGAACGCCTTGAGGCGGATCCTGATATTTTGGCTGTCGATGGCCATTGTGCCTGTCCGGCCCCTTCCCCTGCTCGCCTTGAACTATTCGACGATTTTGGCGACGACGCCGGCGCCGACGGTGCGCCCGCCCTCGCGGATGGCGAAGCGCAGGCCCTCGTCCATCGCAATCGGCGCCATCAGATCGACCTTCATCATCACGTTGTCGCCCGGCATCACCATCTCCGTCCCATCGGGAAGCTCAATCGTCCCCGTCACGTCCGTCGTCCGGAAGTAAAACTGCGGGCGGTAGTTCGAGAAAAACGGCGTGTGACGGCCACCCTCGTTCTTCGTCAGGATGTACGTCTCTGCCTCAAAGCGCGTGTGCGGCGTGATCGTCCCGGGCTCCGCCAAAACCTGACCCCGCTCAACCTCGTCACGCTTCGTCCCGCGAAGCAAAACCCCAACGTTGTCACCGGCCTCGCCCTGATCCAACAACTTCCGGAACATCTCAACGCCCGTGCAAACCGTCTTCGTCGTCTCACGGATCCCGACAATCCCAACGTTGTCGCCGACCTTCACCACGCCGCGCTCAATCCGGCCCGTCACAACCGTCCCACGGCCCGAAATCGAGAACACGTCCTCAATCGGCATCAAAAACGGCTGGTCCTTCGGACGCTCAGGCTGCGGCACGTACTCATCGACCGCATCCATCAGCGCCATGACCGAATCGCGGCCCGTCGCCGCGTCGCCATCCTCAAGCGCCGCTAGCGCAGAACCCCGAATCACAGGAATGTCGTCGCCCGGAAACTCGTAGACCGACAAAAGCTCCCGAACCTCAAGCTCGACAAGCTCGAGAATCTCCTCGTCGTCAACCATGTCCACCTTGTTCATGTACACAACAAGCGCAGGAACGCCCACCTGGCGCGCCAGAAGAATGTGCTCCCGCGTCTGCGGCATCGGACCGTCCGCCGCAGACACCACAAGGATCGCGCCGTCCATCTGCGCTGCACCCGTGATCATGTTCTTCACATAGTCCGCATGGCCCGGGCAATCCACGTGCGCGTAGTGGCGGCTCCCCGTCTCGTACTCGACGTGAGCCGTCGCGATCGTGATCCCGCGCGCGCGCTCCTCCGGCGCCTTGTCAATCTCGTCGAACGACACAAACTCCGCGCCGCCAACCTCGCCCAAAACCCGCGTGATCGCCGCCGTCAGCGTCGTCTTCCCATGGTCAACGTGACCAATCGTCCCAACGTTGCAGTGCGGCTTCGTCCGCTGAAACTTCGCCTTCGCCATCGGTGCTCTCTCTCAGGAGGTCTTGGTCGCGGCCACTCGATCAGGCGTAACGAGTGCGGACTTCGTCCGACACCGCCCGGGGCACCTGATCATAGTGATCGAACTCCATCGTGAACTGCGCCCGCCCTTGGGTGAGCGAGCGCAGGGTGCTGACATAACCGAACATGGTCGCAAGCGGTACCATGGCGCGAATGACCTGGGCGTTGCCGCGCGGCTCCATGCCGCCGACCTGCCCGCGCCTGGCGTTGAGGTCGCCGATCACGTCGCCCAGATAGTCCTCGGACGTCACGACCTCGACCTTCATCATCGGCTCCAGCAGTACCGGCGCCGCACGCTGCAGGGCGTCGCGGAACGCCGCGCGCGCAGCGATCTCGAACGCAAGCGAGCTGGAGTCGACGTCGTGGGACGCGCCGTCGACCAGCCGGGCCTTGAAGTCTATGACAGGGAACCCGGCGATGACGCCGGCCTGGCGCGCTTCCTCGATCCCCTTCCCGACCGCAGGGATGTACTCCTTGGGTACGGCGCCGCCAACGACCTTGCTCTCGAACACGAAGCCCGCGCCGGGCTCCAGCGGCTCCAGCACGATCTTGACGCGCGCGAATTGGCCGGCGCCGCCCGTCTGCTTCTTGTGCATGTAATCGACCGTCGACTCACGGCCGATGGTCTCCCGATAGGCGACCTGGGGCTGGCCAACATTGGCGCCCACCTTGAACTCGCGGCGCATGCGGTCGATCAGGATATCCAGGTGGAGTTCGCCCATGCCGCGGATCACGGTCTGCCCGCTCTCCGGATCGGCGGTCACGCGGAACGACGGATCCTCCTCGGCAAGCCGGGCGAGCGCGACGGAGAGCTTGTCCTGATCGGCCTTCGTCTTGGCCTCGACGGCGACCTCGATCACGGGTTCCGGGAACTCCATCCGCTCGAGCACCACCGGGTGCGCCGGGTCGCTCAGAGTCTCGCCGGTCGTGGTGTCCTTGAGGCCGGCGAAGGCGACGATGTCCCCTGCCCGTGCCTCCTGGATGTCTTCGCGGGTGTTGGCGTGCATGAGCAGCATGCGGCCGACCCGCTGCTTGCGGCCCTTGGCGCTGTTGAGCACCTGCTTGCCGGTCTGGATCATCCCCGAATAGACGCGCACGAAGGTGAGCGAGCCGACGAAGGGATCGGTCATCACCTTGAAGGCAAGCGCCGCCATCGGCTCGTCGTCGCTGCAGGACCGCTCCACCTCGCTGCCTTTGCCGGGCACGACACCGTGTACCGGCGGCACGTCGGTCGGCGCCGGCATGAAGTCGCACACCGCGTCCAGCAACGGCTGCACGCCCTTGTTCTTGAAGGCGGAGCCCGTCAGCACGGGAACCATCTGGCCGGTGAGCGTACCGATGCGCAGGCAACGCTTGATCGCTGCCTCGTCCGGCTCCTCGCCCTCGAGGAAGCGCTCCAGCACGGCGTCGTCCGTCTCGACCACCGCCTCGATGAGCGCCTGCCGGCTCGCCTCGGCCTCGGCCTTCATGTCGTCCGGCACGTCGCCGATTTCGAACTCCGCGCCGAGGGTCTCCGAATTCCAGACGATCGCCTTCATCGCGATCAGGTCGACGACGCCGATATGCTTCGCCTCGGTCCCGATGGGAAGCTGGATCGCGACCGGATTGGCGCCCAGGCGCTCGCGAATCATCTCGACGCAGCGGGGGAAATCGGCCCCGACGCGATCCATCTTGTTCACAAAGCAGATACGGGGGACGTTGTACTTGTCCGCCTGACGCCAGACCGTCTCGGACTGCGGCTCGACGCCCGCCACCGCATCGAACACCGCAACGGCGCCGTCGAGCACCCGCAATGAGCGCTCCACCTCGATGGTGAAATCGACATGGCCCGGCGTGTCGATGATGTTGATCCGGTGGTCGCGCCAGAAGCAGGTCGTCGCGGCCGACGTGATGGTGATGCCGCGCTCCTGCTCCTGCTCCATCCAGTCCATCGTGGCGCTGCCCTCGTGGACCTCGCCCATCTTGTAGGACTTGCCGGTGTAGTAGAGCACCCGCTCGGTCGTGGTCGTCTTACCGGCATCGATATGCGCCATGATGCCGATATTGCGATAGCGTTCGAGGGGTGTGGTCCGAGCCATGATCTTTTTCTTGTCCGCGAACGCCTGCGCCTACCAGCGGTAGTGCGAAAAAGCGCGATTGGCCTCGGCCATGCGGTGGGTGTCTTCCCGCTTCTTGACAGCAACGCCGCGGCTGGCCGCGGCGTCGAGGAGCTCGTTGCTGAGGCGGTCGACCATCGTCGTCTCGGAGCGGCCGCGCGTCGCGCCGATGAGCCAGCGGATCCCGAGCGTCTGGCGACGGTCCGGCCGGACCTCGGTCGGCACCTGGTAGGTGGCGCCGCCGACGCGGCGGGAGCGCACCTCGACGGCGGGCTTCACATTGTCGAGCGCCTCGTGGAACACCCTGACCGGGTCCTGACCGGTCTTCTCCCGAATCCGGTCGAGGGCGCCATAGACGATGCGCTCGGCCGTGGACTTCTTGCCGTCGAGCATCAGGGAGTTCATGAACTTAGCCAGCACCAAATCCCCGTGGCGGGGGTCGGGATTGACGGTTCGACGCTCTGCGGCGCGACGGCGAGACACCGGGCAGCTCCCTTTGTTTCTCTATTTCGGGCGCTTGGCGCCGTATTTGGAGCGCCGCTGGCGGCGGTCCTGGATGCCCTGGGTGTCGAGCGACCCGCGAATGATGTGGTAGCGCACGCCCGGCAGGTCCTTCACCCGGCCGCCGCGAATCATCACCACCGAGTGCTCCTGAAGGTTATGCCCCTCGCCGGGAATGTAGCTCGTCACCTCGAAACCGTTGGTGAGTCTAACGCGCGCGACCTTGCGCAGCGCCGAGTTCGGCTTCTTCGGCGTGGTCGTGTACACCCGGGTACACACGCCGCGTTTCTGCGGGCAGGCCTGCAGCGCCGGCACCTTGTTGCGTGCGGCGGGCGGCGTGCGCGGCTTGCGAATCAGTTGGTTGATCGTCGGCATTGCGGCGGTTCCCGGTTCAATAGACAGTGCGGCGCGTGCAGGTGGACTGGGGCAAGCGAAAACCGCCCGCTTCCCCGCCGCCGGCCTGCGCCGACCCATCGGAATCACTCTCGAACACAAGGCATAGCAGCGGGCGCCCGGAGGCGCGCCGACCAGCCTCGTCGGCAAGAAGGAGGCGCATCCTAGTGGCGCGCCTATCCACCGTCAAGCGGCAACAGCGGCCATTTTCGCAAGAAAATCGCGAGAGGAACGGGGGCTGGCAGGGGCGGGAGCGTGTATCGTAGCGCCGGGCTGAATCGGCGCGGAGAGACGCACATGAATGTTCTGGTCGTGGGTTCGGGCGGCGCGAGCATGCTCTCTGCTGGCAGCTCGCAGCGTCGCCGCTGCTGGGTGCGCTCTGGTGCGCGCCGGGGAACGCCGGGATCGAGAACGAGGCGACGTGCGTAGCGCTGGACCCCATGAATTTCGACGGACTGGTCTCGTTCTGCCGCGAGGAGGCGATCGACTTCGTCGTGGTGGGGCCGGAGGCGCCGCTCTGCGCAGGCCTCGTCGACCGACTCGAGGCAGACGGCATCGCCGCCTTCGGCCCGCGTGCGGCCGCCGCACGGATCGAAGGATCGAAAGGCTTCATGAAGGACTTGTGCGCGCGCTACGGCGTGCCGACCGCCGCCTATCGGCGCGTGGCCTCGCTCGCGGAGGCCGAGGCGTTCATCGCCGAGCAGGGGGCGCCCGTGGTGGTCAAGGCCGACGGGCTCGCCGCCGGCAAGGGCGTTGTGCTCGCCGCAACGGAGGATGAGGCCCTCAATGCAGCGCGGGACGCGCTGGATGGCGCCTTCGGCAAAGCCGGCGCGGAGCTCGTGATCGAGGAGATGCTGGTGGGCGAGGAGGCCAGCTATTTTGCCCTGATCGACGGCGAGACGGTGTTGCCGCTGGAGACGGCGCAGGACCACAAGGCCGTCGGCGAGGGCGATACCGGGCCGAACACCGGCGGCATGGGCGCCTACTCCCCGGCGCCGGCAATGACTCCGGCGCTTTGCGAGGAGGCGCGCGAGCGGATTGTGGAGCCGCTCGTGCGCGGCCTGGCGGAGGACGGCACGCCCTATACCGGCGTCTTCTACGCCGGCCTCATGCTCACAGCCGACGGGCCCAAGCTGCTCGAGGTCAACGCCCGATTCGGCGACCCGGAATGCCAGGTGCTCGTGCCGCGGCTCAAGTCGGACCTTCTGGCCGCGCTGATGGCCGCGCATGACGGCGAGCTCAAGGACTTCGACCTGCGCTGGAGCGACGAAGTCGCGCTCTGCGTCGTGCTCGCGACCAAGGGCTATCCCGGCGCCTACGAGAAGGGCAGCACGATTCGCGGCATCGACGCGGCCGAGGCCTTGCGCGACGTCACCGTGTTCCATGCCGGGACAGCGCGCGGCGACGCCTGGCATCGCCGCCGCAGGCGGGCGCGTGCTCGGCGTCACGGCGCTGGGCACGACGCGTCGCCGCCGCCCAGAGCCTGGCCTACGACGCCGTCGGGCGGATCGACTGGCCGGAAGGATTTTGCCGCCGGGATATCGGCTGGCGCGCGGTCTGAACTCAACCGCCTGCTTGGCGAACTGAGGCACAGGCCTATAATCGAGCGGATGACCAGCGAGAACCGTCCGCTTGAGAGACAAGCCCCGGCGCGGGCCGGGGCTCCGTTCGGCGGCGGGCTCAGCTTCTTGGGTGTGACGCCGCTCCGGCGCTGCCCTTACCTTCCGGGACGCCGGGAGCGCTCGATCGTCACGGCGCTCGCCGGCCCGCGTGCGGACTTGGCCTACGACGAGATGTTGCGCGGGGGCTTTCGCCGCAGCCACCTTGCGGCCTATCGCCCGGCGTGTCCCGGTTGCCGGGCCTGCGTCTCGGCGCGGGTCTGTGTGAACGCGTTTACGCCGAGCCGGTCGCTCCGCCGCGTCATCGCGCGAAATGCAGGAGTCACGATGAGCGTGATGCCGGCACTGGCCCGGCCCGATCACCACGCGCTCTTTCAACGATACCTGGCGGCCCGGCACCCCGACGGCACGATGGCGAGCATGGGGCGCGAGGGTTATGGCGCCCTCGTCGAGGAAAGCGCCGTCGAAACCCGCCTTGCCGAGTTCCGCAGCTCCGGCGGGCGCCTCTACGGCGTCTGCGTTTTCGATATCGTCGCCGATGGGCTGTCGGCGGTCTATTCCTTCTACGAGCCCTTACGGGTCAAGGACAGCCCAGGCAGCTACATGATCCTGAGCCTCTTGGGCGACGCCCGCGAGCGGGCCTTGCCCTACCTCTATCTCGGCTACTGGATCGACGGCTGCGACAAGATGGACTACAAGGCGCGCTTTCGCCCGCTGGAGGTGCATGGCGCCGACGGCTGGACGATCCTGGACGCTCGTGAAGGCGGCCAGGACGTCTCGAATCACTGACCGCAACCATCCAGGGAAGACCCAAGGACATGAGCATGAAGATAGGACGACGCAGCCTCCTCAAGGGAACGGCTATCGCAGGGGCCGCCGTGGCAGCCGCCGCGGCATCGAGCTTCCCCGCACCCGCGATCTCGCAGGGCACGAGGCAACTGAAGATGGTCACGACGTGGCCGAAGAACTTCCCCGGCCTCGGGACCGGCGCGCAGCGTCTCGCCGACCGCATCACCAGCGGGACCGAGGGCCGCATCGAGGTCAAGCTCTTCGCTGCCGGCGAGCTGGTACCAGCCTTCGAATCCTTCGACGCCGTCTCCCAGGGGACTGCGGACATGTACCACGCCGCAGAGTATTACTGGCAGGGCAAGTCCAAGGCCTTCAACTTCTTCGCCACCGTTCCCTTCGGGCTGACGGCGAGCGAGGTCGACGCCTGGATCTACCATGCGGGCGGCCAGGAGCTCTGGGACGAACTCGGGGCTGACTTCAACCTGAAGCCACTGATGGCCGGGAACACGGGCGTCCAGTGGGGCGGCTGGTTCAACAAGGAGATGAACTCGGTCGAGGACTTCAAGGGCCTCAAGATGCGCATGCCGGGCCTCGGCGGCGAGGTCCTGCGCCGCGTCGGCGCGACCGCCATCGCCCTGCCCGGCGGTGAGATCTTCCCGGCGCTGCAGTCGGGCACGATCGACGCCACCGAATGGGTGGGGCCGTGGAACGACCTCGCCTTCGGGTTCTACAAGATCACCAAGTACTACTACTGGCCCGGCTTCCACGAGCCCGGCACGGTCCTGAGCTTCGGCATCAACAAGGAAGTGTGGGAAAGCCTCAGCGCCTCGGATCAGAGCCTGTTCCAGACCGCTGCCGCCGCCGAGAACAGCTACGTCCTGGCCGAGTTCAACGCGCGCAACAGCGACGCGCTGGAGACGCTCATCAACGAGCATGGCGTTCAGGTGCGGCGCGTGTCGGACGAGATGCTGAACGCGCTCGGCGAGGCGTCCGGTCAGGTGGTGGCCGAGGTCGGCGCCGAAGGCGGCCTCACACAGCGCGTCTTCGAGAGCTTGATCGCCTTCCGCAAGAAGGCGCTCGCCTACGACAAGCTCTCGAACCTGGCTTACGGGAACGCGAGGCTTCTTCCGTTCTCCTACGGCAGCTAGACGCATACTCGGGGCGGGCGGTGCAGGCCCGCCCCGAATCTCGCCGGCGTGACGGAATCGATCCACCGCCGGCGCGGGGCTTCGGGGCGGCGTGCGTGAGGGCTGCTGCCGGGCCGGAGTGCCGATCGCCTGAGACAAGATGCAGGCGTTTCTCTCCGCATTAGCCGCGCTCACGCGCGTAATCGACGCCGCCAACGAGCACATCGGTCGCGTCGCGTCGTGGCTGGCTCTTCTTATGGTGCTCCTCCAGTTCGTCGTCGTGGTGATGCGCTACATCTTCGGTGTGGGCTTCATCGCGATGCAGGAAGGGGTGATCTACCTCCACGCCACCCTGTTCATGGTGGGTGCCGGCTACACGCTGCTTCACGGCGGCCACGTCCGGGTCGATATCTTTTACCGGGACGCGCGACCGCGCCGGCGCGCACTCATCGATCTTCTTGGTGTCATCCTCTTTCTGCTGCCGGTCTGCGTGATCATCGGCTGGGCGACCTGGCCCTATCTGGCGCAATCCTGGTCGGTGTTCGAAGGCTCGAAGGAGACCAGCGGCATTCATGCGGTCTATGCGCTCAAGTCGGTGATCCTCGCGTTCGTGGTTCTCATCGCCTTGCAGGGCCTCTCCCTCGCGCTCCACGCAGTACTCACCCTCGCCGGCCGTCAATCGCGCCACGACGCAACCGCAGAGCCAGGCGGCGAGGCCGCCTGACCCGCCATGGACGTCGGCGAGATCCTCGTCATCGTCATGTTCGTGACGACCCTCGCCTGCCTTCTGGCGGGATTCCCGGTCGCCTTCACGCTCTCTGGCGTGGCCGCGCTGTTCGGGCTTTTCTCGTACGCATTCGGTGCCTTCGACATCAGCTTCTTGCGCGCCATGCCGCAGCGCATCTTCGGCAATGCGATGTGGAACGAGGTTCTGATCGCGGTGCCGCTCTTCGTCTTCATGGGCGTGATGCTGGAACGCTCGAAGGTGGCGGAAGAGTTGCTCGAGGCCATGGGTCGGCTCTTCGGCGGGCTGCGTGGCGGTCTCGGGATTTCGGTGATCGCGGTCGGCGCGCTGCTCGCCGCGTCCACCGGGATCGTCGGCGCGACCGTCGTGACCATGGGACTTCTCTCGCTGCCGACGATGCTCCGGCGCGGCTACGATCCCAAGCTCGCGACCGGGGCGATCTGCGCCTCCGGTACGCTCGGCCAGATCATCCCGCCCTCCATCGTGCTGGTGATCCTCGGCGAGCAGATCTCCAACGCCTATGTCGATGCCCAGCGCGCCATCGGCAACTGGTCGCCCGAGCCGGTCTCGGTCGGCGACCTGTTCGCCGGCGCCCTGCTCCCCGGGGATGGTGCTCGTCGCGCTCTATATGCTCTATCTGATCGTCGTGGCCTGGTTGCGGCCGGCGGCGGCGCCGGCCATCCCGCGCGACGAGCTGGGTGACGACTGGCGCGAATTGTGGCGGCGTATCGGCCGCGCGCTGGTGCCGCCGATCGTGCTCATCATCGCCGTACTCGGCTCGATCGTTGCCGGCATCGCGACGCCCACCGAGGCGGCGGCGGTCGGCGCGGTGGGCTCGCTGATCCTCGCCGGCGCCCGGCTCGCGCGCGGTGGCGGCTTACCGCTCTATGCCGCGGGTGGCGGGCTGATCGTGATGATGATTCTGGCCAACCAGTTCGACCTCGTCGTCACGCGGAGCGGCATTAGCGCGCCGGTCATCGCCGCCTTCGTCTGCAGCGCGCTCGTCGTCTATGGCATCGGCACGAGCCTCTGGCGGGTCTGGCGTGTTGGCGTCCTCGTCCCCGTCATGCGTTCGACCATGCAGATCAGCGCCATGGTCTTTGTCATCCTCATCGGCGCCGCTCTCTTCTCATTGGTCTTCCGCGGCCTCGGCGGCGACGACATGGTGCACGAGGCGCTCTCCGACATTCCGGGCGGAGTCGTCGGCGCGATGTTCGTGGTCATGCTGATCATGTTCGCGCTCGGCTTCTTCCTCGATTTCATCGAGATCACCTTCGTGGTGGTGCCGATCATCGCGCCGGTGCTGCTGCGGATGGACATCAACCCGATCTGGCTCGGCATCATGATGGCGGTGAACCTGCAGACCTCGTTCCTGACGCCCCCCTTCGGCTTCTCGCTCTTCTACCTGCGAGGTGTGGCGCCGCGAACGGTCCGCACCAGCGACATTTATCGGGGTGTCATCCCCTTCGTCCTGATCCAGCTCATCGCGCTTGGCGTTCTCGGCGCCTTCCCCGAGCTCACCACCTGGCTGCCATCGATCGTCTTCGATTGAGGCGTGGACGCCCGCTAACGCTCCCTTGACCACGCCGTCACGACATCGGTCAACGCGTCCGTAAGCCGGGTGAGGTCGGCCTCGTCGATGGTGAGCGCCGGCGTGACGTAAACGATATCGGCGAAGGGGCGGACCCAGACTCCGGCGTCGACGAACCGCGCCTTGAGCCAGTCGATGCGGCGCATGTCGTCGAGCTGGATGACACCGATCGCGCCCTTCACACGCACATCGACCACGCCCCGCAGCTCCCGCGCGGGCTCGAGGGCGGCGGCGAGGTGGCCTTCGATCGCGCGCGCCTGGGCGAGGCGCGGCTCCCGCTCGAACAGATCGAGCGAGGCATTGGCGGCGGCGCATGCGAGTGGGTTGGCCATGAACGTCGGCCCGTGCATGAGCGCGGCGTCGGCATCGTCCGAAAGGAAGGCCTCGAACACCCGATCGCTCGCGACCGTGGCGGCGAGCGCCATGGTGCCGCCGGTGAGCGCCTTGGAAAGCGTGACAATGTCCGGCACCACCTGCGCCTGTTCGCAAGCGAAGAGCGTGCCGGTGCGGCCGAACCCCGTCATGATTTCGTCGGCGATGAACAGAAGATCGTGCTTGTCGCAGGCCTGCGCGCAGCGTGCGCAGCGTCTCCGGCACGTGGAAGCGCATGCCGCCCGCGCCCTGGACCAGCGGCTCGACGATGACCGCCGCCACGTCCTCTCCGTGCCGGGCGAGGTAGGTGTCGAACGCGGCCATGCCCGCCTCGTCCTCGGGCAGCGGCACGACGTGCTGCTTTGGCAGCGCGCCGGCGAACAGACTGTGCATGCCTTCCTCGGGATCGCACACCGACATGGCCGCGAAGGTGTCTCCGTGATAGGCGCCCTGGAAGCTCACGAAGCGGTGGCGCCCGCGAACCCCCTGGTTGAGCCAGTATTGCAGCGCCATCTTGAGCGCGATCTCCACCGCCACTGAGCCTGACTCCGAGAAGAACACCCGGCCCAGGGGATCGGGGAGTATGCCGGCCAGGCGGCGCGCCAGCCTGAGTGCGGGCTCGTTGGCGAGGCCGCCGAACATCACATGGGGCATGCGGTCCAGCTGCTCGGCCACGGCGGCACGGATGTGGGGGTGGTTGTAGCCGTGGCAGGCGGTCCACCACGACGCGATTCCGTCGATCAGCTCACGGCCGTCGGCGAGGACGATGCGGGAGCCCCTGGTCGCGGCCACAGGCAGCGGCGGCGACACGGTCGCCATCTGGGTGTAAGGGCAGCCAGATGTGACCGTAGCCCTCGGCGAGCCAACCGGGCGCCGACGGCGCGGAAGGGTCGGCAGGTATGCGGCGCGCCACGGCGAGCGTTGGGAGCGCGGCCCCTCCCCCGCCTAAGCCGGCATCGGCGCGATGCCGAGGCGGGCGAAGAGTCGGGTGTCGCGCTCGCGCGCGGGATTGGGCGTCGTGAGCAGCTCCGGCCCCACGAACACCGAGTTGGCGCCGGCGAGAAAGGCCAGCGCCTGCATCTCGTCCGACATCTGCTCGCGCCCGGCGGAGAGTCGGACCACCGAGCGCGGCATGGTGATGCGGGCCGCCGCCACCGTGCGCACGAATTCGAAGGGATCGAGCGCATCGACGCCGTTAAGCGGTGTGCCCTCGATCTGCACCAACATGTTGATGGGCACGCTCTCCGGATGGGTCGGCAGGCTCGCGAGCGTGGCGATCATGTCCGCGCGATCGCGTTTCGATTCGCCCATGCCGACGATGCCGCCGCAGCAGACGCTGATGCCGGCGTCGCGGACATGGCCCAGGGTGTCGAGCCGGTCCTGATAGGTGCGTGTGGTAATGATCTCGCCGTAGAACGATTCCGAGGTGTCGAGATTGTGGTTGTAGTAGTCGAGGCCGGCATCGGCGAGCCGCTCCGTCTGCGACGCGCTCAGCATCCCGAGGGTGACGCAGGTCTCCATGCCGAGCGCCTTGACGCCCGCGACCATGTCGGCCACCGCGTCGAGGTCGCGGTCCTTGGGGCTGCGCCAGGCGGCACCCAGGCAGTAACGGGTGGCGCCGGCGTCCCGGGCGCGCCGGGCCTCGGCCAGCACCGTATCGAGTGACATCAGCTTCTCGGCTGCGAGCCCGGTGTCGTAGCGGGCGCTCTGCGGACAATAGGCGCAGTCTTCCGGGCAGCCGCCGGTCTTTGATGCTCAGCAGCGTCGACATCTGCACCTGGTTCGGGTCGAAGTGACGGCGATGGACGGTCTGCGCACGAACATCAGCTCGGCGAAGGGCAGTGCCAGCAGCGCCTCCGCCTCCGGCGCCGACCAGTCATGCCTGAGCGCGGTGGCCGCCCTGGGAGGCGCGTCCGCGGCGATCGCTTCGACAGTTTCCATGATCGTTCGTCTCCGGCCCTCGACGGGCGCAGGATAGGCCCGCCCGCCGCCGGGTCAAGGAATGCAGCCTGGAAAGACCCGTCCCGCGCTGCGGCAAGCGCGTGCACAGGGTTGCTATGCCGAATATTGCATACAATATATGGGGTTGCGGCAGATCGAACCGCTACAAGACTGGCAATATACGTTGACGGACGGCCCGATCGGCATCATGCTTGCCACGCTTTAAACAAAATTCGGAAACCGTGAGCCCGACTGCTGCATCCGCCGCGCTCGACGCCATCGAGCATGCCGATCTGGCCGCCGCCCGTCGGGTGGTGAGCCAGGAATCGCGCGCGCTCGCACGGCTCTCGGAGGCGTTGACCGGGCGCTTCGTCGATGCGACCAAGATTTTTCGCCGCCACCCAGGGCCGGATCGTGGTCTCCGGCATGGGCAAGAGCGGCCACATCGCCAACAAGATTGCGTCGACCTTCGCCTCGACCGGGGCACCGGCGCTCTTCGTTCACCCGGCAGAGGCGAGCCACGGCGATCTCGGCATGATCACCGATGCAGACACGTTGCTCTTGCTGTCGAACTCGGGTGAGACGCCGGAGCTTGCCGATCTCCTGAACTACGCCAAGCGCTTCCGCATTCCGCTCGTCGCCATCGTGGGGAAAGCGCCCAGCACACTCGCCGATGCGGCCACCGTCGCGCTCGTTCTTCCGGACGAGCCGGAGGCAGGAACGCTCGGCCTGGCGCCGACGACGTCGACCATCATGATGCTGGCGCTCGGCGATGCGCTTGCGGTCGCCCTGCTGGAGCGCAAGGGGCTCACGGCGGAGGACTTCAAGCTCTATCACCCCGGCGGCAAACTCGGCCGGCGGCTGGTCTGGGTCGCCGACATCATGCACGCGGGCGATTCCCTGCCGCTCGTCCGCGCCGATGCGGCGATGGCGGAGGCCCTGATCGTCATGACCGCCAAGCGCCTCGGCTGCGTCGGTGCCATCGACGGCGAAGGTGCGCTGGTCGGCATCGTGACCGACGGCGACCTCAGGCGTCACATGGATGCGGGCCTGCTACAAGAACCAGTCTCCGAAATCATGTCCGTCGATCCGGTGACCATTCATTCCGGCGCGCTCGGCGCAGAGGCCGTGCACCTCATGAACCAGTGCCAGATCACCAACATCTTCGTGGTCGAAGGAAAGCGACCGGTCGGCGTCGTGCATATCCACGATTGCCTGCGGGTAGGTCTCGCATGAGTACCAGAGCGGGCAATGGGTCTGGCAGCACCGCGCCGGCGGGCAAGCTTCGATACTATCGGGCGCGTGCCGGTGCAGCCGGCGGCAGCCCTGGAAGATACAGCGGTTTCGTCGGCCTCATGCGCTATCTGCTGCCGGCGATGGCCGCCGCCTTGCTCGGCCTCGTGGTCGCGTGGCCGCTCATCGGCGATGGGGAGGAGGGTCTCCACATCCCGCTGACCACGGACGCGGGGATCGACGGCAGATTGACGATGGTTAAGGCCAGCTATCAGGGCACCGATGCAAAGAACCGGCCCTACGCCGTGAGGGGGGAAGAAGCGTTCCAGCTGGAGAGCGATTCGCCCGTCGTGCATCTCAGCGGAATCGAGGCCGACTTCTTCGGCGATCAGGCAGAGAACGGCATGTTGGCGCTCACAGCGAACGAGGGCCGGTACCAGCGCGACGTCGAGCGCCTCGACCTCGCCGGCGATGTCACGGTACGTTCGGATGCGGGGCATGAGTTTATCACCAGCGAGGCCCATATCGACCTGCCGGCAGGGAACGCGAAGGGCGACGAGCCCGTGAGCGGCAAGGGCCCGCACGGGCTGCTCGATGCCGGCAATTTCGCGCTCCTCGACCGGGGGCAGGTCATGACGTTCGGCGGCCGGGTGCGGATGACGCTATTCCCGCATGCGGTTGGAGAAATCGATGGCGCGTTGGAAGGACAGGACGATGAGAGCCGGGGCTAGCCGGCACGGACGGGCGCGGCGCACGTCGCGGATGGCCCTGCTTGCAGCTGTGCTCGCGGCGTCGGTTGTGCTGGCCGGCGCGGGAACGGCGCAGGAAGCGGATGACGGCGCCAGCGAGGCAGGCCAGGCGATCGAGATCACGGCCGATACGCTCGAAGTGCGGCAGTCGGAAAAGGTCGCCATCTTTGAGGGGAGCGTCAACGCGATTCAGGGCGATTTGGTGCTGAACGCTGACATGCTCACGGTCCATTACCGCGAGGCGGAGGGCGGCCAGGGCAACCTGGGAGTCTCGCGCATCGATGCCGAAGGGAACGTCGTCATCACTTCGCCGGGGGAGACGGCGCAGGGGCAAAGCGGCGTCTACAACGTAGAACAAGGCCGCATCGACCTCGCCGGTGGGGTGGTCCTGCACCAGGGCAACAACATCGTCGAAGGTGCATCGCTGACGATGAATCTCGAGACCGGGGTGAGCAGAGTGTCCGGCGCGGGCAGCACCCGCGTGCACGGCCTCTTCGTCCCGGAGGAGGAAAGCGAGTAGCGCGTGATCGGCAGCAGGGTGATAGCCGCATGACCTCGCCGGTGACCGTCGGCCTCGACGGCGGCCCCGCGACGCCCGTTGTTCTTGCCGGCAACCCGGGCCTGCGTGCCGAGAACCTCGGCAAGAGCTTCAAGAAGCGGCCGGTCCTGCGCGGCCTCAGCCTGACCGTCCAACGGGGCGAGGCGGTCGGCCTGCTCGGGCCCAACGGTGCCGGCAAGACGACGTGCTTCTACCTGATGACCGGGTTGGTGGTGGCGGACTATGGCCGCGTCTTCCTCGACGGGCACGACATTACGGGGCTTCCCATGTACCGCCGCGCCCGGCTCGGCCTCGGCTACCTGCCGCAGGAGGCCTCGATCTTTCGCGGGCTCACGGTGGAGAACAACATTCGCGCGGTGTTGGAAGTGTCGGTGCCGGCGCGCGACGAGCGCGAGCAGGCACTCGACGAGCTGCTTGCGGAGTTCTCGATCACCCACTTGCGCCGCGCGCCCTCGCTCGCGCTCTCGGGCGGTGAGAGGCGGCGCGTGGAGATCGCCCGTGCCCTCGCCTCGAAGCCGCGTTTCATGCTGCTCGACGAGCCGCTGTCCGGGATCGACCCGATCGCGGTCGCGGAGATTCGCGACCTCGTGGCCCACCTCAAGGACCGCGGCATCGGCGTGCTGCTGACGGATCACAATGTGAGGGAAGCGCTCGAAATCGTCGATCGCGCCTACATCATCAACGAGGGCACCCTGTTGATGGAGGGCCCCCCTTCGGAGATCGTCTCACACGACGAAGTTCGCCGCGTTTACCTCGGCGATCGCTTCCGTCTCTAAGCCACCTGTTTCGCCATCTCGGCGCGCCGCGCTTCGGTGGCGGCCACGTCGAGCTCCAGCCTCTCGGTGATAACGACCCCGTAAGCCTGATAAGCGTGCTCGCGGGTACAAAAGTCGTCGAGCACGTCCTCGCGCACCTGCTCGGCCGGGCGCTCCAGCGGATCCCCGTAGCCGCCCCCGCACGGCCCCATGAAGCCGATGCAATCGCCGGTCTGGTTGCGCAGCCCGTGGATCTTTGCCGGCAGGTCGTCGACCCGGTCCGGGTCCGCGATGTTGTACTTGATGAGGCGCCCGCCGCGGCCAGCGGTCCCGCCGCGAAAGCCCCAGGGCGGGTCGTCATGCTCGGTCCGCCTCGTGGGTGAGGAAGCCAGGCGTGAGGTAGCGCTGCACTTTGATTACGCCGATGCCGCCGCGATGACGGCCCGCGCCCGGCATCACATCGTCGCGGAGCTCGTAGCGATCGCAGAGTAGCGGCAGGTGCATGCCGAGATCCTCGATCGGGTTGTTGCGCGTATTGCGCATCAGCTCCTCGATGGTGTCCGGCCCGTCCGAGTGCGGCCGCCCGCCGCAGGCGCCCTCGTTGACCTCGATGAAGATCCAGTACTGGCCGTCGGGCCTGACGCCGGAATAGGCGATCGCCGAAACGTCGGCCGATGAGCCCGCCGTTACCTTCTCCGGGATCACCGGCGCGAGCGCCTTGGCGATGCAGTCGACCACGCGCTGGATCTGGTTGAAGCGCGCCTCCGCCGCCGCCGGATACTCGGGATTGAAGATCGTGCCCTTGGGCGCGATCACCTTGATAGGTCGGAACGAGCCCTCGTTCTGCGGCACATGCTCGCTGGTCGTCGCCGTATCAAGCAGGAGCGCGCGGAAGGCGAAGTAGCAGGCGACCTTGGTCGAGCCTTCGAAGGGCACGTTGAAGGCGGTCGGCACCTGCGGGGCGGAGCCGGTGAGGTCGACCTCGGCCGAATCGCCCTTGATGCGCACCGCGACCTTGACCGGGAGCGGCTGCTTGCGGTTCCGCCCGTCGTCGTCCAGGAAGCCCTCGGCCCTGTATTCGCCGTCGGGAATCGCCGCGATCTGGCGGCGCAGCATGCGCTCGGAATAGTCCATGAGCTGCTCGGTCGCCGCGAACACCACGTCCTTGCCGTACTGGTCCAGGAGTTCGATGAAGCGCTTGACACCGAGCTCGGCGGAGGCGACCTGGGCTTCGATGTCGCCCATCACCTGGCTCGGTACCCTTGTGTTGGTCTCGATGAATTGCCAGAGCGCGCGGTTGAGTTTGCCGCCCTCATAGAGCTTCACGCCCTTGAACAGCATGCCCTCGGCGAACACGTCCGGCACGTCGATGATGAGGCCCGGCGTCGCCGCGCCGATGTCGACATGGTGTGCCGTGTTGGCCGAGTAGCCCACGAGCTCGCCGTGGTAGAAGACCGGCGCCACTGCGGCGATGTCCGGCGAGTGGCTCGCGCCGTAATAGGGATGGTTGTGGATGACAATATCGCCGGGCTGCCAGGGGTCGTGCAGGGTTTCGTCGATCCCCCTCAGGTAGGCCGGGATGGAGCCGATGTGCATCGGCGTCGAATCCGATTCGCAAAGCGTATTGAAGTTGCTGTCGAAGAGCCCGGCGCCGAGATCCTCCGACTCCCGAATGATCGACGAGTAGGACATGCGGTAGAGCACATGCCCCATCTCCTTCGCGATCGTGTGCAATGCACCGCCGATCACCTGCAAGGTGATCGGGTCGACTTCGATCCGCTTGGCGGTCATGACTCGGCGACCTCCCTGACGTGTAGATTGCCCGATTGCGCGACCGTCGCTTCGTAGCCGGGGGGCACGATCGTGGTCGAATCGGTCTGGATGACGATGGCCGGGCCGTCGATATGCTGGCCGGCCTTGAGCTTGCCTCGGTCGAAGCGCGGCGTTTCGTAGGTACGGCCGTCGTCGAAGGTGGTGGCGCGGCGATAGAGCAACGCATCTTCCGGGTTGCGTCCGCTGCCCGCCGGTGATTCCGGCCAACTGAGCGCGCCGATTCCGGCCGAGGCGACGACCCGAAGCGTGATGACCTCGACCTCCTGGTCTTCGAAGGCGTGGCCGTAATCCTGCCGGTGCCGCTCATGGAAGCTCGCCAGGAGCTCTGCCCGGTTATCCAGCGTCAGCGGGGCGTCCGGCATGGTGCCGCGAAGCTCGAAGCCCTGCCCCTGATAGCGGCACTCGGCGATCCTGACGACGCGCTGGTTCTCGGGCGCTACGCCATCCGCTGCCAGGGCGTCGCGCGCCCGTTGCACAAGGGTTTCGGTCTCGGCGTTCAGGCTGTTGATCTCGTCCTGGCCCGCCTTGGTAAGGACGCAGAGCACCGAGCGGGTGAACTCGTAGCGCATGTCGGTGGCAAGCAGCCCGGTCGCGGCATTGATGCCCGGCGCCGGCGGCACGATCACCTCGCGCGCGAAGACCGAGCGCGCAAGTGCCACACCGTGCAGCGGCCCGGCGCCGCCGAAGGCGACCAGGGCATAGTCCCGCGGGTCGACGCCCTTGGCGACCGAGTTGGCGCGGATCGCGAGCGACATGTTGGAGTTGATGATCCGGATCACGCCGAGCGCCGCCTCTTCGAGCGACATGTCGAGCGGGCCGCAGAGATTGTCTTCGAGCGCCGTGCGCGACTTCGCCGGATCGATCTCCAGGCCGCCGCCGAGGAACTGCTCCGGGTCTAGCCTGCCGAGCACCACCTGAGCATCGGTCACGGTCGGCTCGGTGCCGCCGTGGCCGTAGCAGGCCGGCCCCGGCACTGCACCGGCGGAGCGGGGGCCCACGCGAAAGGCACCGCCTTTGTCGACATAGGCGATCGACCCGCCGCCGGCGCCGATCGTCGCGAGGTCGATCATCGGCGCCAGACCGGGTAGCCGCCGACCTGCGTGTCCCGCGGGTTCATGATGCGGACCTCGCCGTCCGGCACCACGCTGATGTCCGCCGACGTGCCGCCGATATCGACCGTGATCAGGTTGCGCACGCCCGACATGTCCCCCGCCCACTGGCCACCGATGACGCCGCCAGCGGGCCCGGACATCAGGATCGTCACCGGGCGCTCGGCCGCGCCGGCAAGCGTGGTCACGCCACCGTTGGACTGCATGACGCGAATCTGGGCATCGACGCCATTCTCCTTCAGCGCCGTCGCCAGATTGTTGAGATAGAAGGACGTGCGGGGGCCGATGAAGGCGTTCATCGCCGCCGTCGAGAAGCGCTCGTATTCCCGGATCACGTCAACCACCTCGGAGGAGCAGCTGACGTAGGCATCGGGAATCACCTCCTTGACGATCTCCTTGGCGCGCCGCTCGTGCGAATCGTTCAGAAAGGCGAAGAGGAAGCAGACGATGATGGCGTCAACGTCGCGAGCATTGAGCAGCTCGGCGGCGGCGCGCACCTCGTCCTCGTTGAGCGCGGTCTCGACGCTGCCCTCCGGCGGCAGGATGCGCTCGGTGATGGGGATGCGGTTTCGGCGCTTGACCAGCGGGCGCGACTGCCAGGGCACGTCGAACTGCACGGAGAAGTTGTGGGGCCGCTTGTGCCGCGCCATGTGCAGGATGTCACGAAAGCCTCGTGTGGTGAGCATTCCGACCTCGGCGCCGGAATACTCGATCACCGTGTTCGTCGCGATGGTCGTGCCGTGCACGATTTGCTCGATGTCGCCCGGCGCAATGCCTGCCTCGACGCAGATCTCGAGAACGCCTTGGATGACTCCGCGCGACTGGTCTTCCGGCGTACTCGGCACCTTATGCACGAAGATCCGGCCGGCGTCGTCGCCGTCGCTCGCGGCGCCATCCGTCTCCAGGATGAGATCGGTGAACGTCCCCCCGACATCGACGCCGATTCTCGCCATCGTCCCCCGTCCCCGTGCATGCAATTCGCGGCCGTCGCGGCCGCGGGCGGGTCATCTTAGCGGGCGGGAGAGTTGATGGAAGGGGATTCCCGTGCCGGCGGGGGAGCGAAGCCGCTGCCTCGGCCCGCGTTCGGCCGCCCGGCATCGCGGGGCGGGACCTCATCGGCTGAGTCCCGCTCCGGCACCAGCGCGAGCGCCTCTTCGATGACCTCGGCACCGGCGCGGGGGCGATGGCCGCCCCCGCCGAGAGCGCGCCGCCAAGCGCGCCCGCCGGGCCGGCCTGCGTAGAGCCCGAGCATATGCCGGGTGATGTGGTGGAGCGGCACGCCATCCGCGCAGGTCCGGCGCACATAGGGCAGCATGGCTCGGGCGATGTCGTGCCGGCTCGGCATGGCCCGCGCCGGCGCGCCGAAGATGCACCGATCGGCGGCACGCAGCATGGCGGGGTCGGCGTAGGCCGCGCGCCCGATCATGGCGCCGTCGACCGCGTCGAGGTGCGCCTTCGCTTCGTCGAGGCTGGCGACACCGCCGTTGATGACCACCTCCAGCGTCGGCAGGTCCCGCTTCAAGCGGCGGACCACGTCGTAGCGGAGCGGCGGGATCTCCCGGTTCTCGGCCGGGCTCAGGCCGTCCAGCACCGCGATCCGCGCATGCACGGCCAAGCTCTTCACGCCGGCGGCGGCGACCGTTTCGACGAAGGCCTTCAGGTCCTCATAGGCGCCCCGGCCGTCGATACCGATGCGGCACTTGACCGTGACGGGAACATCGACCGCTCGGATCATCGCGCGCGCACAGTCCGCCACCAGATCCGGCGCCTCCATGAGAGCGGCGCCGAAGCGGCCGGCGCGGACACGGGGGCTCGGGCAGCCGATATTGAGATTGATCTCGTCGTAGCCGAAAACCTGGCCTACCTCCGCCGCGCGGGCCAGCGCGTCGGGCTCCGCGCCGCCGAGCTGGAGGCCCACAGGATGCTCCGCCTCGTCGAAGGCCAGCAGCCGGTGACGATCGCCCCGCAGCACCGCCTCGGCATGGATCATCTCGCTGTAGAGGAGCGTGCGCGCCGTGATCTGCCGCAGTAAGTAGCGGCAGTGGCGGTCCGTCCGCGCCATCATCGGCGCGACGCTCAGTCTGCGGTCGAGCTTGTCCACGACACCTCGGCTCGGTGGCTCACCCTGCTGCGGCGCCCCACCTAAAGCGTGCCATAGGGCCCACTTGAGCGATAGCTTGCGAGTGCGCTGGAAATGCAGCTAAAGCGATACTTCAATCAGGGAGGGACCGATGACCCAGATGCAGGCCGACTTCAGCGGGCGCAACGCTTTCGTGACTGGTGCCGGCGGCGGCATGGGACTGCAGATCGCGCGCGACCTGATCGGTGCCGGCGCGCAGGCGACGCTCTTCGATGTGAAGCCGGCGCCGGACGATCTGCCCACCGGCGCCCGCTATGTGCAGGCCGACCTTCGCGATGCGGAGGCCGTGGCTCAGGCGCTGGCCGCTTGCTACGAGGCGGCGGGCCGGCTCGACTACCTGGTGAATGCCGCGGGCGTCCTCCTGCTCGGCCGCGACCGCTCGCTCGTCGATATCGACCTCGGCGTCTGGGACGACGTGCTCGCCATCAACCTCAAGGGCGCGGCGATCTGCGCCCGCCACGCGGTGCCGTTGATGAAGCAGACGGGCGGCGGCGCGATGGTGCAAATCTCCACCATCCAATGCGTGCGCGGCGACGACGCGCCCCAGGATGCCTACCAGGCTTCCAAGGCCGGCCTGATCGCGATGTCGAAATCGATTGCCATTCAGTTCGCGGCCGACGGCATCCGCTCCAACACCGTCTTACCGGGGCCCACGCAGACGCCGATGCAGCAGCGCTGGATCGACAATCCCGCGCTCAGGGAGGCCACGGAGGCAGCGGTGCCGCTGGGTCGCGTCGGTACCCCTCGGGACATGGCAAATGCCACGCTCTTCCTGCTTTCGGACGCGGCGTCGTTCATCACCGGGACCGAGCTGATCGTCGACGGCGGGGTCTTGGCGAAGCCTTAGGCTCCCACCGCTGCGTTACTCCAGGGGCAGCGGCGGCAGCTCGGCGACCTTGATCGTCGCGACGGTCAGTGTGCCGTCCTGCGCCGTCACCGGCACCCCGCGCAACACCGGGGGGCTGCCGTCCTCCGGCTTCTCGGCCAGCATGTTGAAGGCGACCTTGGCGATGAAGCCCTCGCCCAAGGGGATCAGGTTGCTCATGATCAGCGCGTCGATGACATCGCCGTAGCCGATGATGTCGGCCGTCAGCGCGGCGATCGGGCGCATGGCCCCGTCGAGCGCGATTGTCCCGCTCGTTTCGATCCCAAGCGGCCCCCAGCGCACGCGGAGGCCGGTAAGCTCCAGCGTGCCGCCGGCGTCGCGCCAGGCGGTGATCGCCTCGTTCGTCCCGCGCTCGCTCGGGATCGAGCCGACCACGCTCGCGTCGATGTCGAGAAAGTCGAGGGTCTCGCCGAGCCCTTCGGCGAGATCGCTCGGGAGCACGGCATCGCGCACGGCTATCGATGTCTTCAGGATCTCCTCGCCGCTGCTGTCGTCGTCGATGGCGACGCCGGTCGCGTGCAGGCTGCCGACCTGCGCGAGCCCCCTGCGGCCATACGCCCGCAATCTCAAGCCCCTGCAGGTCGAGCCTGATCTCTCTGAAGCGCCTGTCATCGTCCAGCCTGACGACGAGCCGCCCGTCGTCGATCTCTGCATCGATGTCGCGCCACTCGCCGCCTTCGAGAAGAACCTGAACCGCATTGCGGCGGTCGGGGAATACGGTGACCTCGCTGAAGTCCCAGGCGGAGGCTTCCGCGCGCAGCGAATCGGCAGCCCAGCGCCACCCGTTCCGCGTGTCGTGGATTTGCAGCTCGCGCAGAGTGACCTCGAAGCGGAAGGGGAAGCCCTGACACCTGCGTCCCCCCGGTCTCGATCTCGAGCCCCTGGGCGCGTTGTTTTTCGGCCCAATCGTCGATCCGGTCCCCGATTTCGCCCGCGGCGATGAACCAGTAGCCGGTATATCCGGCCACGGCGATCGCGATTGCGCCCGCGGCGAAGGCGGCGAGGAGAACGAGTCGCATCGGTCTTCTCATGGACGGACCCGGTCCGGAGAACGGTAATCAGGGTGCTCTAAGGGTTCAAGCGCCAGTCCGGATTTCTCACGCACACTTGGAGTAGCCGCAAGCAGGGCAGAGATCGCACCCCTCTCGGTGCAAGAGGCCGGGCTGCCCGCAGCGCCCGCAGTATCGCACCAACTCGGCCTGCGCCGCACCACCGTCTGCGGCCGCGGGCGCCTCCAGGCGCACGATCTCGCTCTCCGGCGGCACGAGGGCACCGATGCTCACCAGATGCTGTTCGATTACACCGCCGATGGCGGCGAGAATGGAGGGCACGTAATGGCCGCCAACCCATTGGCCGCCCCTCGGATCGAAGACCGCCTTGAGTTCGTCCACGATGAACGACACGTCGCCGCCCCGGCGGAACACGGCGCTGATCATCCGCGTCAGCGCGACCGTCCAGGCATAGTGCTCGGTGTTCTTCGAATTGATGAAGATCTCGAAGGGCTGCCGCCGCCCGTCGCGGATGATGTCGTTGATGGTGATGTAGATGGCGTGGTCGTGCTCTGGCCAACGGATCTTGTAGGTGCTGCCCTGCAGCGCCTCCGGCCGCTCCAGTGGCCGTGTCATGTGGATGACCGCGCCCGCCTCGAAGGCATCTGCGGGCCGGACCGGCGGCGGCTCCAGCGGCAGCTCGCTCTGCCGGGCGGTGGGCAGGCGCGCAGGCGCGTCTACGACCGTCGTGGCCGCACCCTCGGCACCGGCGGCGGGCGCGCTGCGCGCTGCCGCGCCGGATGCGCGCTCCAGCACCGCGCCCGTCACCGGGTTGGGCCGATAGGTGGTACAGCCCTTGCAGCCGAGATCGTAGGCCCGCATGTAGACGTCCTTGAAATCGTCGAATTCCATCTCCTCAGGGCAGTTGATGGTCTTGGAGATGGAGCTGTCGACGAAGGCCTGGGCCTGCGCCTGGACGGTGAGGTGATCGGCCGGGCGGAGCGACTGAGCGTCGACGAAGTAGTCCGGCAGCGGCGCCGAATCTCCCTTGAGGCGGCGAAACAGCAGATAGGCGTGGTCGTCCACGGTTTCCGCCCGGCGCGTGCCGTCCGGCATGAGCACGTTGCGCGTGTATGAGTAGCTGAACACCGGCTCGACGCCTGACGAGACGTTGCCTGCCAAAAGCGAGATCGTGCCCGTCGGCGCCACCGAGGTGAGCAGCGCGTTGCGGACCCCCGACGCGTCGATCGCCGCCCGCACGTCGTCGTCGAGGCGCCGGATCGTCGGGCTCTCGGCATAGCGCGCGGCGTCGTAGAGGGGGAAGGCACCCTTCTCCGCCGCAAGCCCTGCAGACGCCAGATATGCCGCCCGCTGCAGGCCACCCATCCACTGCTCGATCAGGGCGTTCGCCGCGTCGCTGCCGTAGCGCGCCCGGCACATGATAAGGGCGTCCGCGAGCCCGGTGACGCCGAGCCCGATGCGCCGTTTTGCTTGTGCCTCCTCCTGCTGCGCCGCGATGGGGAAGCGCGAGCGGTCAATCGCGTTGTCGAGCATCCTGACGGCGGTGGCGGTGAGCGCCTCCAGTGACGCCATGTCGAGCGACGCGTCCCGCTCGAAGGGGTCCCGCACCAGGCTCGCCAGGTTGATCGAGCCCAGCAGGCAGGCGCCATAGGGCGGCAGCGGCTGCTCGCCGCAGGGATTGGTTGCGAAGATCTCCTCGCAGTAGGCGAGGTTGTTGGTCCGGTTGATGCGGTCGATGAAGATCACGCCGGGCTCGGCGTAGGCGTAGGTCGAGCGGATGATCCGCTCCCACAGCGTGCGCGCCGAGACGGTGCGGTAGACGACGCCCTCGAAGGCGAGCTCCCACGAAGCGTTGTCCTTGACCGCCTGCATGAACGCATCGGTCACCAGCACCGAGAGGTTGAACATGCGGAGCCGGCCGGGGTCGCGCTTGGCCTCGATGAAGGCCTCGATGTCGGGGTGATCGCAGCGCAGGCAGCCCATCATCGCACCGCGGCGAAAGCCGGCGCTCATGATGGTGCGGCACATCGCATCCCAGACATCCATGAACGGAAGCGGCCCCGATGCGTCGGCACCGACGCCCTTGACCGGCGCACCCTTGGGCCGGAGCGTCGAGAAGTCGTAACCGATGCCGCCGCCCTGCTGCATGGTCAGCGCTGCTTCCCTCAGATTGTCGAAGATCGCGGTCATGTCGTCCGCAATCCGCCCCATCACGAAGCAGTTGAAGAGCGTGACCTGGCGCTCCGCACCGGCGCCGGCGAGGATGCGGCCGGCGGGCAGGAACTTGAACCCCTGGAGCGCCTCGTAGAACACCGGCTCCCAGCGCTCGGGCTCCGACTCGGCCGAGGCCAGCGCGCGGGCCACGCGCCGCCAGCTGTCCTCGATCGTGCCGTCGATGGGCGTGCCGTCGGCCGCCTTCAGGCGGTATTTCATGTCCCAAATTCGGGACGAGATCGGCAGCATCTCGGTCATGACGGGCCCATCGCCCCCGCGTGCGTATCCATCGGCTCGCTTGCGCCGATGTTCTCACTTTGTTTCTCACCCGCCCACTCTACCAGCCGGGCTCTCTTCATACAATATGGTGCGCGCGGACGACGGTTCGATCGACGACTCGGGCAGGAGGGTCAGGAGCCGGACTATGCCGCGTCGGCCCGTCCGGGCTCGGCTTCATCGGCCTGTTCCGGCGCTGCCTCCTCCGGTGCGCCGTAGAGTTCGGCGAAGAGCCTCTGCGATGCCTCTTCCATCGTCGATTCGAGGCGCTCCATGAAGTCCCGCCGCGGCAGCCCCGGCGGGATCGGCGGCAGATACTCCATGACGATGGTGCCGGGGTAGCGCCTGAAGGAGACCCTTGGGCCAGTGCATGCCCGAGTTGAGAACGACGGGCACAACCGGCACGTCGAGGGCGCTATAGAGCGCAGCGACGCCGGGCCGATAGGGCAGCTTCTCCCCCGGCATGACCCGCGTGCCCTCGGGGAAGATCACGACCGGTCGGCCTCGTGCCACCGCCCTCTGCGCACCCCTGACCAGCCCGCGCAGCGATTTCGCGCCGCCCTCGCGGTCGACGAAGATCATGTTCACCTTGGCCGAGAACCAGCCGTAGCCGGGGACGAACGACAGCTCCCTCTTGATCACGTAGGCGGGGTCGTCGAGCTCGTGCAGGAAGACGTGGGCCTCCCATTCCGACTGATGCTTGGACGCGATGATTGCGGCGCCCGTGGGTCTGTGCTCGCGGTTCCGTATTTCCGAATGGACGCCGGCGATGATCCGCAGCAGCATGCCGTTCCCCGCGGACCAGGTGATCACGAACTGGCGGAACCAATGGCGCGGCAACAGCAGCATCGGCACCATGACGGTGCCGATCATCACCCCCCAGGTGTAGAAGGCGACCGTGCAGAGTGCCGAGCTGAGCGTGTTCCCAAGTGTGTGCGCCGGCCCAGGCCGAATCCGAGCGTCCGGCGCGCCAGTGCCCACAGATATTTGGTGAACTCGCTCGCGATCAGGGCCGCGGTCCCGCGATAGCGCCACCAATGCTCTACCTTAACATGCTCCGGAAACACGGGATGTGCCACAAGAGTAGCATTTGGCATCGCGCTTCGGAACTCCATCATGGCCCGCAGCATGTGATAGCCGCTGGTGACGAGGCGGAGGCTGGTGAAGGAGCGGCTTTCCATCCATGCTGCCGCCTCCTGCGCGTTCGCCGCCGTGTCCTCGGCCTCGTAGCCGAGCTCCACGCAGCAGGCCCAGAGCGCGGGATCGTAGCGCTCGCGAAGCTCCGCGCGCTCCACTCCCTCGCCGACTCCGGTCACGAAGAGCATCTGTGCGACGCCGCTCTCAAGCAGGTGCAAGCCTTCCTCCAGCCTGCCGGAGCCGCCGGTAGGGACGACGATGGCCTCGGTGGCCAGCTCCGGCCGGTCCGAGCCTTCGCGCGATGCCTCCGCGAACCACGCGAGCCCGCCAGACCAGAGGAGTGCGAAGAGCGCGACCGCCGAGAGCACCGCGCGCACGACGCGGAGAGCCCATCGCCGGGCACGCTCGCGCGGGCTAGAGTCCATGCTGGGCCGCCGATTCGGCCACCGCTCGGCGGACATACGGGCTGAACGTCCGAGCGCCGCCGGGCCATGTGGGGTTGACAGCACGGGCGATGAAGTTACTTGGTCGCGCCGCCCGTATTACAAGTGCTGATTCGGAGAGAGGGCACCCGCCCGTTCCCCCATGATCATACGTTGCTTCGCCTGCTCGACGCGCTATCGAATCGACCCGTCCGCCCTCGGCGACGCCGGACGCCGGGTGCGATGCACGAGCTGCGGCCATGTCTGGCTCGAGCTGCCGCAAGGCGGTGTGGCCCCAAGACCCAACTCGAACGGGCAGTCGTCGCCGCCACCGTCGACCGAGCGTAGCCGCTCCGACTGGATCGGCTGGCTCGTGGCCGGGTTTGCCATCGCGATCGTGATTGCCGGGCTCGCGCTCGGTCGCAACGTGATCGTCGCCACGTGGCCGGACACGGTGGGCGTCTACGATTCGGCGGGTCTCTCGATCAGGGTTCCGCACGCCGACGGCCTTCGCATCTCCGATATCGAGTCGGAGCGCGTGCAAGGGGGAAACGGGGCGATTCTCCTCGTCCGCGGAGTCGTCGAAAACACCATCGAGTACAGCCGCACGGTGCCTGCGCTGCAGGCGGTTCTCGCCGACGAGGCCGGCACGGAACTGCATCGTTGGCGGGTGGCTGCGGTGTCCCCGGTTCTGAACGGCGGGCAATCGACGGCCTTCGAAAGTTGGCTCGCGAGCCCGCCGGAGGGGGCGGCGCGGGTTTCTGTCGGCTTCGCCGCCGACGGTCAGGAGTAGCGCGGCAGGCCGCGGCGAAGAATCGGCTCTCAAGCGAGCCAGGACGGGACCAGGTCGCGGGCCAGCAGCGTCTCGTAGTCCTGGCGCGGCCGGATCGAGGCAAGAGCGTCGCCGCGCACCATGACCTCGGCAGCCAGCGGGCGACTGTTGTAGGTCGATGCCATGACGGAGCCGTAGGCGCCTACGTCGCGCACCGCCAGCAGATCGCCGGCGGCGAGCGGAGGCAACGGGCGCTCGCGGCCCAGCACGTCGGCGCTCTCGCAGACCGGCCCGGCGACGTCGGTCTCCACCGTGGAGACGCCCGGCGCGGGCTCCGCCACCGGCTCGATGGCGTGCCACGCATCGTAGAGCGCGGGCCGCATCAGATCGTTCATGGCGGCGTCGACAATCACGCAGCGGCGCTCGCCCGCCTGCTTCACCGCGATGACGCGGGTGAGCAGGACCCCCGCCGGCGCCACCAGCCAGCGGCCCGGCTCGATGATCGCCGTTACGCCGATGCGCTGGCGGACACGCTCGACCAGCGCACCGTAGGCCTCGACAGGCGGCGGCGTCTCGTCCCGGTAGCGCACGCCAAGCCCGCCGCCGAGGTTGATCCGCTCCACCGGGTAGCCGGCAGCGCGCAGGTCCTCCACCAAGTCGATGACCCGCTCGTAGGCGGCCTCGAAGGGCGCGAGGCGCGAGAGCTGCGAGCCGATATGCACGGCAAGGCCGACCGGCTCGATCCCCTCCAGCGCGGCCGCCCTGGCGTAGAGCGCGGCGATGTCGCCATCGTCGATCCCGAACTTGTCGCCCCGGCGGCCGGTGGCGATCTTGTCGTGGGTTTCGGCATCGACGTCGGGGTTCACACGGAGCGCCACGGGCGCCTGCGTGCCCTGCGCGCGGGCCGCCGAAGCGAGAGCTTCAAGCTCGGCGGGGGATTCCACGTTGAACTGCCCGACCCCACTGGCGAGCGCGAGCTCCATCTCCTCGCGCGTCTTGCCGGGTCCGGCGAACACCAGCTGCTCCGCCGCGATGCCGGCCTGGAGCGCGCGACGCAGCTCGCCGCCCGAGATGATATCTGCGCCGGAGCCGAGGCGGGCCAGGGTGCGGATCACCGCGAGGTTGTCGTTCGCCTTGATCGAGTAGCAGATGCAGCGCATGCGGCGCGGCGGCGGCGAGCGCCTGGTAGCGGGCAACCAGCGCCGCGTTCGCGTAGCAATACGTCGGCGTGCCGAAGCGCGCCGCGACGGCGGTGAGCGAAACCCCCTCGGCGTGGAGAACGCGGCTGCCGTTCTCCTCCCGATAGACGAAGGCGTCCACGGCAAACTCCGTCAGACAAGCGTTTGGATTGCCGTGGCCTGGGGTGCGGCCCGGGCGTCTGCGGGCGGCGGCTCAAGCGGCGCCTTTCTGCCGCAGCTCGACAAGGCCACGATCAGGCCGATCGCGGCGACGATCGTCATCAGGAGGCTGAGTTTGCGTATCATACGATCCGGCCCTCCGCGCGACCCCGGTACTCCGGCCGGGGCGCGCCTCTATAGAAAACGCTGCCGGGCGCGGGCAACTTGTTTCGCCACCTCGCTCGGCGCGGTGCCGCCCTCGCTGGTGCGGCGGGCGATGGCTTGGGCGGGGTCGAGCAGCGCCACCACGTCGGCGTTGATCCGCGGCTCGATACCCCGCAGATCGGCGAGCGCCAGGTCCTTGAGATCGCAGCCTTTCTCGTCGGCAAGCTTCACGATCTGCCCGGTGATCGTGTGGGCTTCGCGGAAGGGAACACCCACCTTCTGCACCAACCAGTCGGCGAGGTCGGTCGCCGTCGCGTGGCCGGTCCCGGCGGCGCGAGCCATCGCGTCCGCCTTCACGGTCATGTCGCGAACCATGCCGGTCGCGGCTGTAAGACAGAGCGCGAGCGAATCGAAGGCATCGAAGAGGGGTTCCTTGTCCTCCTGCATGTCCTTCGAATAGGTGAGCGCGAGGCCCTTCATCACGATGAGGACGCCGATCAGCGCGCCGACGATGCGCCCGGTCTTGCCCCGCACCAACTCGGCGGCGTCGGGGTTTCGCTTCTGCGGCATGATGGAGCTGCCGGTCGAAAAGCGGTCGGAGAGCGCGATGAAGCCGAACTGCGCGCTCGACCAGAGCACGAGCTCCTCCGCGAGCCGCGAGAGGTGCATGGCGACCAGCGACGCCGCCGCCAGCGCCTCCACCACGAAGTCGCGGTCGGAGACTGCGTCGATGGAATTGGCCGAAGGCCGGTCGAAGCCGAGGAGCTCGGCGGTCATGGCGCGGTCGATGGGAAACGACGTCCCGGCGAGCGCGGCGGCGCCGAGCGGCGACTCGTTCAGGCGCCCGCGGCAATCGGCAAGCCGCCCCCGGTCGCGCCCGATCATCTCGACATAAGCCAGCAGATGGTGGCCGAGGGAGACTGGCTGCGCCACCTGCAGGTGGGTGAAGCCCGGCATGACGGTGGCCACGTGCTCCTCGGCCCGGTCGATAAGTGCGGCCTGAAGCCCACGGCAGGCCTCGTCGGCCTGGTCCAGACGCGCCCGCAGCCAGAGACGCAGATCGGTCGCGACCTGGTCGTTGCGCGAGCGGGCGGTGTGCAAGCGGCCGGCAGCCGGGCCGATCAACGCGGCAAGCCGGGCCTCGATATTCATGTGGATGTCTTCGAGCGCGCGGTCGAAGGGAAAGCCGCCGGCCTCGATCTCATCCCGCACCCGATGCAGGCCTTCCGTGATCGCGACTGCGTCTTCCTGCGTCACAATTCCCTGCGCCGCCAGCATGGTGACGTGAGCGACGGAGCCCGCGATATCCTCCGCGTAGAGCCTCCGGTCGAAGTCGATGGAGGCGTTGATCGCCTCCATCAGCCTCGTCGGGCGATGCCTCGAAGCGGCCGCCCCACATGCGGTTGGGCGCGTTGCCCGCGGCCGCCTCGAGCGCCGGTGGCACGGCCGGGGATGTCTTGCGTGTCATGAGTCGGCGACTCCAGCACTTCCTTCGATAGTATCGCAGAGCACCTGCAGTAATAGGAGCCGCCTGCCACGAATGGGTAATCGAGGAGTTCTGGAACCCGGTGCGAGAGCGTGGCACCCTGCGCGTCATGGGCAACGAGTGTCAATTCATCGTCAAGCCGGACCCCGACGATGGGCGCCTCACCCGCCTCTTGGGCGGCGTGGATCAGGATGGCGCGGCGATCGAGGCTCGCGTCGTCGAGGAACGCCCGCTGACGCTCTTCCTCAATTCGCAGGAGATCGTCACGGTGATGACGATCCGCGACTATCCGGACTATCTGGCGCTCGGCTACCTGCTCAACCAGAACATGCTGCGCCCGGACGACGAGGTCACGGGGATCGACTACGACGAGGACATCGAGACGGTCGTCGTCCGCACCAGGCGCGCGACCGACTACGAGGCGACGCTACGCAAGAAGACCCTCACCTCCGGCTGCGCCCAGGGCACCGTGTTCGGCGATCTCATGGAGCGCTTCGAGGCGACGGTGCTGGACCCGGAGGCCCGCCTCAAGACCTCGTGGCTCTATGCACTGAGCCGGGCGATCAACATGCAGCCGAGCCTCTACCTCGCGGCCGGCGCCATCCACGGCTGCGTGCTGTGCGAGGAGGCGCGGCCGCTCGTCTACATGGAGGATGTCGGGCGGCACAACGCCATCGACAAGATCGCGGGCTACATGTTCCGCCACGGCATCGGTGCCTCCGGCAAGATCATGTACACCACCGGGCGGCTCACCAGCGAGATGGTGATCAAGACCGTGACCATGGGCATACCGATCCTGATCTCGCGCTCGGGCTTCACCGCCTGGGGTGTCGAGCTCGCCCGTCAGGCCGGGCTTACGCTGATCGGGCGCGCGCGCGGCAAGCGCTTCATCACGCTCGCGGGCGCTGACCGGCTCGTCTACGACGCGGATGCATCGGCGGTTGCCGAGAGGCGAAGCACCATCGACGCAAGGGCAGCATTGCGGCCGAGGATGCGGCCTGAACGCCTCCGAGGTAGGTGCCAACCTGCCCCAACGCCCGCCTGTCGCCCAGGCCCTGGAGCGAATGCGATGCAGGAGTCATTGCGCTGAGCGCCTATAGCGAGCTGACGCCGATCATCGTGCTGACGGGTTTCCTGGGCAGCGGCAAGACGACGCTGCTCAACCGCCTGCTGAAGCACCCCGCGCTCGGCGATGCGGCAGTCCTCATCAACGAGTTCGGCGAGGTCGGCATCGACCATCAGCTCGTCGAAGCGGTAGACGAGAGCACGGTCCTGCTTTCAAGCGGCTGCCTCTGCTGCACGATCCGCGACGACCTCAAGCAGGCGATCATGGAGATCCACGACAAGCGGGCCAGAGGCATCGTGCCGCCCTATCGCCGCGTGATCGTCGAGACCACGGGCCTTGCCGATCCCGCGCCCATCCTGGCGACGCTCATGAACGACGTGTCGCTCCGCCACCACTACCGGCTTGGTACGATCATCACCACGGTAGATGCCGTGAACGGTCTCGACCAGCTTGAGCGCCAGGAGGAACCGCGCAAGCAGGCGGCGGTGGCGGACCGCATCGTGCTGACCAAGACCGATATCGCGGAGCCGGAGGCGGTGGAAGCGCTGAGACATCGCCTGGAGCAGATCAACCCCTCCGCCGAGTTCCTGATCGGCCAGCACGGCGCGGTCGATGTGGAGCGCGTGCTCCGCGCCGACGTCTACGATGCCGCCGCCAAGGGTGGGGAGGTGCTGCGCTGGATCGAGGCGGAGGCGGCTGCATCCCATGCGCACGCGGGGCATGGCCACGACGTCAACCGGCACGACGCCAGCATCCACGCGTTTTGCCTGATCCATGACGAGCCGATCGATTGGACCGTCTTCGGCATCTGGCTCACCATGCTGCTGCACACCCACGGCGAGCACATCCTGCGGGTCAAGGGGCTGCTTAATGTCGAGGGCGCCGATACGCCGGTCGTCATCAACGGCGTGCAGCACATCATCCACCCACCGATTCACCTCGATGCCTGGCCGGACGAGAGCCGCCAATCCCGCGTCGTCTTCATTGTGCGCGGGCTGGAGCGGGCGCTGATCGAGGAATCGCTCGCCGTCTTCAACCGCCTCGGCGGCGGTGCGCCGCAGAGCTCGAAGGCGGCCTGACCAGATAACACGGTGCTCGGCGATTGAGAGAAGCCCCATGATCGAGATCAACGGCATGGCGCACGTCGTCCTGACCGTGAGCCGCTTCGACGACGCGCGGGCCTTCTATTGCGAACTCCTGCCCTTCCTCGGCATGCACAAGGTCTTCGACGGCAACAACTTCGTCTATCACGTGGGCGGCCGCACCGCGCTCGGCATCCAGCGCGCGGCACCGGCCCTATGAAGGCGAGCGCTTCGTGCAGAGTCGCGTTGGGCTGCACCACCTCTGCCTGCGCGCACGTTCGCGCGAGGACGTGGACAAGGCGGCAGCGAAGTTACGCGAGATAGGCGCGAAGATCGATCGCGGGCCGATGGAGCGGGAATGGGCGCCCGGCTATTACTTCCTGGTCTTCGAGGATCCGGACGGCATTCGCCTGGAAATCAACCACATCCCGGGCAAGGGCCTGCTCGCCGGCGAGACCCCGGCCGCGCCGAGCGACGACCCGGACTGGGGTCCGAACCCCTGACCTGGATCGCACTACTGGGGAGAGCCGGATGCTGACCGACGAGATGCAAACGCTCATTAGGCGGTTTTCCGCCGGCGCCGTCGCGACCGTGAACGCCGATGGCACGCCGTCGGTCTCGCCCAAGGCGACATTCGTGATTCTGGACAACCGAACCCTCGCCTTCGGCCATATCCGCTCGCCGGGGACGGTCGCGAACCTGCGTCGCAATCCCGCAATCGAGGTCTGCTTCACCGATGTCGTCACCCGCAGGGCCGTGCGGGTCACAGGCATGGCCACGATCGTTCCCCAGGGCGACGCCGATGCCGCCCTCCATGACGCCTTCGATGCCGCGTGGGGCCGTACCGGCCCCGCATGAGCGCCTATGTGAGGATTGCCGTAACGGCGGCCGAGATGATCCTCTCGCCCGCCTACGATCTCGGCCTGACCGAGGATGAGCTGCGGAAGACCAACCTCGAAAAGCTGAACACCTACTGACGGGGCGCTGGGATTACGCCGTCGCGTCGTCGTGGGAGATCACGACCTTCCCGAAATGCGCGCCGGAGGCGAGGTGGCGATAGGCGGCCGGCGCCTCGGCGAACGGGAAGCGCCGGTCGATGACCGGCTTTGAGCCCGTTACGGTCGATCGCCTTCGTCATCTCTTGGAGCGAACGCCGGCTGCCCACCAAGACGCCCTTGAGGTGGACGTTCTTCCAAATCAGCGCCAGCGGGTCGTTCTCGATGCCGACCCCGCCCAGCATGCCGATCAGCGCGATGCGCGCGTGGAAGGCGGCGGCCTCGATGCTCTGCGCGAGGGTGGCGGCGCCGCCGGTCTCGATGATGAGATCGGCGCCGCCGGTCAACTCGGCGACGGTTTTCCCCACGCCGGATCGCGCGTGTAGTTGATGCCGTGGGCGGCGCCCAGCGCGTGGGCGCGGGCGAGCTTCTCGTCGCTCGACGAGGTGATGACCGCGTCGGCTCCCATCATCCGCGCAAATTGAAGACCGAAGATGGAGACACCGCCCGTGCCGAGCAACAGCACCGTGTCGCCCGCCTTCATCTGCCCGAACTCGACCAGCGAGACCCAGGCGGTGAGCGCGGCACAGGGCAGGCAGGCGGCCTCTTCGTCGCTCAGTGAATCGGGGATTGCGACGAGCGACGATGCCGGGAAGGCAGCAAGCTCCGCCAGGGTCCCGTCGCAACCGCCGCCGAGGTCGGTGCCGAAATGAGAGGGCTGGAGCGGGCCATCGAGCCAGCCGGTGAAAAAGCTCACCATCACCCGGTCGCCGGGCTTGACCGAGTCCACACCTGGCGCCCACCGCCACGACTTCGCCGGCACCATCGCTCAAGGGAATCCTGTGCGCGGGCTTCGGCGCGCTGTCGATCAGATTGAGGATCATGTGATCCCGATAGTTGAGCGCGCTGGCGCGCAATCCTGACCAGGGCCTCGCCTGCCGCCGGTTCGGGATCGGGTCGTTCGACCATCCGCAGGCTGTCGACGCTGCCTTGCTGCGTGCCGAGTTCCCAGGCCTTCACCGTTTCGTCCTCATCGCGGTTGATCGAAGGTCTGTGTCGGGCGTAGGTAGAGCGTGCGGGACTGGCTGACCCGCGCGGCGCAGGCGATACCCGTCGGCAACGCCCGCTTCTGTAGAACCTTGGGGACTGGGGGTCAGACGCGCAGCACCGCCGTTCAGCGGCGTCGGATTACGCGATGGCGGCAACCGGTTCGCGGTCCGGCTCTCCAAAGACCGTATCGTGTTCCACTCCAGTGAACCGCCACGCATCGGGATCCTCCAACAGGGCGGAGAGGAGCGCGTGGTTCATGCCGTGGCCGGAGCGCAGACAGCGGACGTGACCGATTATCGGCGCACCGGCGAGGTAGAGGTCGCCGAAGCAGTCGAGCGCCTTGTGCCGCGCGCACTCGTCGGCATAGCGCAGACCGCCCTCGTTGAGAGGTCCGTCCTCACCAATGACCACGGTGTTCTCCAGAGACCCGCCGCGGCCCATGCCGGAGGCGAGGATGCTCTCCACATCCGATTCCCTGCAGAAGGTTCGCGCCCGCGCGATCTCGGTGCGGAAGCTGGAGCAGAGCGGATCGAAGACGACCGACTGATACCCGAGAGCGGGATGGTCGAAGTCGATGTCGCAGCGAATGGAGAACCTCTCTGCCGGGGTGATGCTGATATAGCGATTCTCGTCGCCCAACCTGACCGGCTTCAGCACCTCGATCATGCGCCGGGGGGCGCACTGCTCGACGACTCCGGCGCATTCGATGAGAAAGACGAATGGCGCGGCGCTCCCGTCCATCGCGGGAACCTCCTCGCTGTCCAACTCGACCACCGCATTGTCGATTCCGCAACCGGCGAACGCGGCCATGAGGTGCTCGATCGTCCGCACCGAGACCCTGCCGTTGCCGATCGCCGTGCAGAGAGTCGCGTCCACGACGTTCCCGTAGACCGCCTCGATCGTCCGACGGGAGCCCGCCGGCTGGTCGGTGCGGCAGAACACGATGCCGGTACCCGGCGGCGCCGGGCGCAGCTCCATGCGCACCTTGCGATTGCTGTGTACGCCGATGCCGGCGCAATGAATGGCCGATTTGAGGGTTTTGCTGCGGAGTCATTGTTTCATGGGCGCCGGTCGCCCTCTGGCCATTCACACCATATCGCCGCCCCCTTCGTCCCGCCGGGTGTGCCGCGGCAGACGGCACGTTTGCCAGACCGACCCGACCCGACCATGAAGGGAATCAGCGATCAAGATCGGAAACGATCCTGGCAAACGCGCCGCCAGCGCGCAAATCACTGTTTGTTACGAGTTGTTACGATCCTTTCCCGGGCTCAGTTGGCCTGCCGACGGAGAAAAGCCGGTATATCGAGCGGGTCATTCGTACTTCCAGGCGCTCTCGCAGACTGCGAATGCCCGTCATGGAACAGCTCGGGCGGCTTCGCCGCTGCCGGTGCCGGTGCGGGTGCCGATGCTGTCATTTTGGGCGCATCCTTGCCCAGCGTCGGCGCAGTCGTGGTCCGCGGCGGCAAGTCAGTGCGAAGCCGCGCCTCCGGCTCTCTCTTTTGCGGGCCGCCGAACTTAGGCTCGGCAGACTTGAGCGTCCGTGTCTCGGTGGCAGGGTGCCCGTCGCCCTCGCCTCCGTTCCGACGCGCCCGCCCGGTGCCGGTCATCCGCTCGAAGAGCGAGGGTCTGTCGGGCGACGGCGCATCGTTTGCGTCCGCGTGACGAGGTGCAGGGGCCGGGCGCTCGATCGGTGGGGCGACCTTCCGCTCGGGCGTCCTAGCTTCGGGTGCCCGGGCTTCGGGTCTCCTGGCTTCGGGCGCCTTGGCTGCGGGAGGACCGAACCGCGCTGCGGGCCGCTGGGCCTTCGCTTCAGCGCTTGCGACGGTTGCCCGGGCGGCGACGCCGCCGGAGGCACTCGCCGCCACCGCCCTGTGCTCCTGCCTGGCCCGCGGCTTAGGCGACGCAGGGGCGTGAGCACGCGAAGTCGTGGCCGGACGCGGTGTGGCGGAGACCGCCGGAGCGGACTGCGCTCCGCCACCGCCCAAGGCTGCGGCCGATTCGGCGACTGCCTCTGCGACGGGGATAACGATATCGTTCTCGTCGGTTCCGGTGGCGGCGGAGGACGGTGCCACCACCGAATCGACTGCCTCCTCCTCAGGCTCTGCCGACGACACTGCGCCGCCGCCGCTGCTCGTCCCCTTGCGGTCGGAGAAGCCGAGGACATGGATATTGTCGGTAGACTCGGGCACCGGTGCACGAAGCTCGTCCGAGTCGATGCCGGTGGCGATCACGGCGACGCGCATGTGACCGTTCATCTTCTGATCGAGGCTGGTGCCGAAGATAATGGTGGCTTCCTCGTCCACCTGCTTGCAGATGCGCGAGGCCGCCGCGTCCACCTCGTGAAGCGTGACGTCGGTGCCGCCGGTCACGTTAATCAGAACACCGCGCGCCCCTTCGATCGACGCATTGTCGAGAAGCGGGTTGTTGATCGCCGCCTCGGCCGCTTCCGTGGCGCGATTCTCGCCTTCGGCCTCCCCGGTGCCCATCATCGCCTTGCCCATGGTGCCCATCACCGTGCGGACGTCGGCGAAATCGAGGTTGATGAGGCCGGGGTTGACCATGAGATCGGTCACGCCGCGCACGCCTGCGTGCAGCACGTCGTCAGCCATGCCGAAGGCGTCTGCGAAGGTGGTCTCTTCGCTGGCCACCCGGAACAGGTTCTGGTTCGGGATGACGATCAGCGTGTCCACATACTGGTGGAGCTCCTGAATGCCGTGCTCCGCGATCCGCATGCGCTGGGATCCTTCGAAGTGGAACGGCTTGGTGACGACGCCGACCGTCAGGATGCCGTGCTCGCGCGCGGCACGCGCGATCACCGGCGCTGCGCCGGTTCCGGTGCCGCCGCCCATGCCCGCGGCAATGAACACCATGTTGTTCCCCTCGAGATAGCTCTGGATGTCGTCGAGGGCTTCTTCTGCGGCCACTTTGCCGATGTCGGCACGGGCGCCGGCGCCCAGCCCTTGCGTGATGTTGACACCGAGGCGCACCCGATGCTCGCACATCGACTGGAAGAGAGACTGCGCGTCGGTATTGGCGACGACAAACTCGACGCCCTCCAGGTCGCCGGCGATCATGTTGTTCACGGCATTGCTGCCGGCACCGCCGACACCAAAGACGGTGATGCGCGGTCTGTTTTCCGGTTGCCGCTCCGGCATGAAATCGATGGTCATGGTGTCCTCCTCTACGGTGTTCGTTGATCCGTGTGTTCCCAGAGATTGCCCCTCAGCCACTGGCCGAGGCGCGCGAGAGTCTTGGTGAAGGGCCCGGCAGCGTCGTCGCGCGCAGGCACGGCCCATGGCTCTGCGTGCTTTCGCGCCGCATAGACGAGCAGGCCGGCGCAGGTCGCGAATTCGGGGCCCGAGACGGCTTGCGCCAGACCGGGCAGGGAGAGTGGGCGGGCCAACCGGACCTGCTTGTCGAGGATTCGGCCGGCGAGGTCGGCGAGATCAGAGGTCTGGCTCGCGCCGCCGCTGATGACGACGCGGTTCCCCGACCACCTGTCGAGCCCGCTCGCTTCGATTCGGGCGCGGGCGAACTCGAAGATCTCTTCGAGGCGGGCACGCACGATCCGCGTGAGCATGGGGCGCGGCACATGGTGGGCAGCGCCGGAGTGGCCGTTCTCAGGCCCGATCTCCGGCACCTCGATGGTTTCGTTTGCGTCCGCCGTCTCGTCCGCCGGGCTCCCATGGAGGCGCTTCATGCGCTCCGCGCTCGCGATCGGTGTCGATAGTCCCTGCGCGATGTCATTGGTGACGTGATCCCCGCCGATGGGGAGGGTCTCCGTCCACACCAGATTGCCGCCACTGAAGATGGCGAGCTTGGTCGTGCCGCCGCCGATGTCGATGCAGGTGGCGCCAAGATCGATCTCGTCGGAGACCAGGCATGCGAGGCCCGAGGCGTAGGCGGTCGCCACGGGTGCAGCGACCTGCAGATCGCAGTGGGAGACGCAGGTGAGCAGATTGCGCAAACTACCGTTCGGAACGCTCACCACATGCAGACGAACCTGGAGGCTCTCGCCGTACATGCCGCGCGGATCCCTGATGCCCGGCGCTCCGTCGAGGGCGTAGTCGATGGGCACGGCGTGCAGGATGTCGCGCTCGCGCCCGTCGTCCGACAGCTGCAACTGGTCGAACGCACGCTGAATGTGGCGCTCCGCGATCTCGCGGCCGCCGATGCCGACCTCGACATCGGCGAAACTTGAGCTCGGCCCTCCGCCTGAGGTGCCGACGAAGACGCTGCGCACGGTCTCGCCAGCCATCCGTTCCGCGCGGTGGACAGCGGTACGGATCGCACCCTCCGCCGCCACCATGTCGACGACGCGGCCGGCGTGCATGCCGGCGGCAACCTCCTGACCGCTGCCGGCGACGGCAAGCGTGCCTTCGGCATCGCGGTGGGCGACGAGGCAGCCACCTTGGTCGTGCCGATGTCGAGGGCTGCGATCACAGCGTCAGGGCTCCCAGTCTCGTCATGTCCGGTCGTCGGCAGGCAGCTCGGGCGGCCGGGCGCGGAAAATCGTCCGGTCGGGGAGGCGCAGGTCGACGACCGCGATCGGCTCGTCGAGGAGACGGTGGTCGCCGATCTCCCTGACGAGGCGCGCCCAGGCCGCTCCGATCTCGATCTCGGGGGAGCTTGGCCTCGAGGCCGTTGTCGAAATGGAGCGTCCAGCGCCGCCCGCCGATCCAGATGGCCGCCTGCACACGCCCCGACAGCGCTGGGTCGGTCGCCATCGCATCGAGCAGGGTTGGCATGTGGTCGAGCGCACCGTCGCCCACGATGATCGGCAAATGGGCAAACTGAGCGACTGATTCGGCGGCGATTTCCGCGCCGGCGCGGTCGACCATGACCAATCGTTGATTGCGCTGCCACAGCGCTACCGGCGTGCGCTCGACAATGCGCACATGGATCGTGGACGGCAGATGGCGTTCGACGGTCACGCTCTCGACCCAGCCGATGGCCTGAATACGGTCGCGCGCGGCGGCCAGATCCACGTCGAAGATGGGCGTGCCGAAATCGATACCCACGGCAGCGTGGATTGCGTCGGGCGACGATTGGTTCTGGCCCTCGGTGTGGATGCGCTGCACCGTCATGCCCGCGTCTGCCGTCGCCGAGACGAAGCCCGCTCTGATGCCATCGCCCACGCTCTTGAGCGTGCCGGGCTGGACGACCCAGATCGCCGCAGCAACGATCCCGCCGCCCCGTCAGCGCAATGGCCGCCCACTTGAGCGCGCGCCGCGAGGCAAGGCGGGACACGCCCGGGCGCGGCGCCGGCCGCGCGGCGTCCTTCCGTGTGCCGAAGAGGCTCAGCTGTCGCATGCGGCGTTCTCCACGAGCCAGCAGACGAGCTCCTCGAAGCTGATGCCCGCGTCGGCGGCGATCTCGGGCACGAGCGAGAGCGGCGTCATGCCCGGTTGGGTATTGATTTCGAGCAAGTAGAAGCGACCCGGCTCGCCCGCCGTGTCGTCGTAGCGGAGATCGGCGCGGCTCACGCCCGGCAACCGAGTGTCTGGTGGGCCGTGAGTGCGATTTCCAGCGCCTCGGCATAGGCCTCGGGGTGGATCGGGGCCGGCATGTAGTGGTCGGCATGGCCCTCGGAGTACTTGGCCTCGTAGTCGTAGAAGCGCCCCTTGGGCCTGATCTCTATGGCGCCGAGCGCGCGCTCCCCCATCACCGCGACCTGGATCTCGCGTCCTGGATGTAGCGCTCGACAAGTACCTGATCGCCAAAGGGCCAATCGCCGTTGGGCAGCACCGCGTTGTCGCCGCTGAAGACGAGCTGGACGCCCACGCTGGAGCCCTGGTCGAGTGGCTTAATCACGTAGGGCGGGTCGCCTGCGGCGCCGGCGGCTATATCGGCGCGGCGCATCACGCGGCCCTCGGGGCAGGTGAGCCCGGCATCGCCGAAGAGCTGCTTCGCCGCGGGCTTGTCCATTGCCAGCGCAGAGGCGAGAACGCCCGAATGGGTGTAGGCAGGCCCATGACCTCGAGCAGCCCCTGGACGCATCCGTCCTCGCCGATGGAGCCGTGCAGGGCATTGAACACAACGTCCGGTCGGACCTCGGCCAGGGTTGCCGGCAGGTCTCGGGTTACGTCGATGCCAGTCACGCGATAGCCGCCCTCGGCAAGCGCACGCTCCACGGCGTCACCGGACACCAGAGACACCTCGCGCTCGGCGGACCAGCCGCCCTTTAGAACGGCGACATGCTTGCCTGCGGCGCTCATGCCTCGCCCTCCCCTGTGCCCTCGGGCCAGCAGCCGTGTCGGCCGATCCGGCGGATCTCCCACCTGAGCGAGAGGCCGGTTTTCTGCTCGACGCGGCGGCGAACCTCCTCGCCGAGCCCCTCGATGTCCGAGGCCGTAGCGCCGCCGGCATTGACGATGAAGTTGCAGTGCTGCTCCGAAATCTGGGCTCCGCCCCGGGCGAGGCCGCGGCAGCCGGCCTCGTCGATCAGCTCCCACGCCTTGTTGCCTTCGGGGTTGGTGAAGGTGCTGCCGCCGGTGCGGGCGCGGATCGGCTGACTCGCTTCCCGCGCGATGTTGATCTCTTCCATATGACGGGCGATCGCAGCGGGGTCTCCACGACGCCCGGCGAGTACCGCCGAAACGAGTATCCAGTCGTCCGGCACGTCCGAATGGCGGTAGGAGAGGCCCATCGCATCCGGCGCGAGCACGTGCATGGTGCCGTCGCCGTCAAGCGCACGCGCCTCGACGAGAACATCGGCCATCTCGTAGCCGTAGGCGCCCGCATTCATGCGGAGCGCGCCGCCGATGGTGCCGGGAATGCCGCTGAGAAAGGCCAGGCCGTCGACCCCTTGATCGCGGCAATAGCGAGCCACGTTCATGTCGAGAGCGCCGGCGCCGACATCGACCAGCGCGCGCTCACCATCCCAACGCACGCGCACATCGCGAAATCCCTGCCGCAGACGGACGACGACGCCCTCGACGCCGCCGTCGCGCACCAGAAGATTCGAGCCGAGGCCGACCACGGTTACCGGCACATCGGCGGGGCGGGCGGCGAGGAAGTGCGCGAGGTCGTCGATATCAGCCGGCCGGAACACGACATCGGCGCGGCCGCCGGCACGGAACCAGACCGTCCGGGAGAGGTCGACGTCGAACGCATAGCGGCCGCGGACCCTTGGCAGCCTGTCGTCCCAGTCTGCCATCTTGCTGCTCGCCATCATGACGACTGCCCGGCCGGGCTTGCCGCCCTCGCGCCGTCCCCGAGGCCTTCGAGGGCGGCGGGAAGCGCCCGTGCCCAGTGGGTGATGCTGCCGGCGCCGAGGCAGACGACGAGGTCGCCGGGCTCCACCAGGGTCTCGATCAGTGCCGGCAAGGCTTCGGGCTCCTCGAGCGGGAGCACGTGGCGGTGGCCGTGGCGCCATAGGCCCTCGACCAGCGCCTCACGGTCGATCCCTTCGATGGGCTGCTCGCCGGCAGGATGAACGTCGGCTATGACGACCGTGTCTGCATCGTTGAAGCAGCTGCAGAACTCCTCGAAGAGATCGCGCAGGCGCGTGTAGCGATGGGGCTGCACGACGGCGACGATGCGTCGGTGATAAGCACTGCGCTGCGGCGCTGAGGACGGCGGCGATCTCGACCGGGTGGTGTCCGTAATCGTCGATCACCGTGACCCCGCCAACGACGCCGACCTTCGTGAAGCGGCGCTCGACACCTGCGAATTCCGCCAGCGAGCGGCGGATCACGGCCTCGGGAAAGCCCATCTCGCGGCCGACGGCGATCGCCGCGAGGGCGTTCTGCACGTTGTGCGCGCCCAGCATCGGGAGCCGCACACCCTCCATGGTGCCGTGCCGCTCGTGGACGTAGCCGGAGACGACGACATCGAAGGTCGAGCCCAGCAGGTCGCCTGCGATGTTGACCGCCCGCACCTCGGCTTGCGGGCTCAAGCCATATGTCACGATGCGCCTGTCCTCGATGCGCCCGATCAGGGCCTGCACCTCCGGGTGGTCGATGCAGAGCGCGGCGACACCGTAGAAGGGGATATTCTCGACAAAGGACTGATAGGCCCAGCGCACGGCGTCGAAGTCGCCGTAGAACTCCATGTGCTCGCGGTCGATATTGGTGATGACGGCGGCGATGGCCGGCAGCTTGACGAAGCTGCCGTCGGACTCGTCGGCCTCGACGACCATCCACTCGCCGGCGCCCAGGCGCGCGTTGGTGCCGTAGGCATTGATGATGCCGCCGTTGATGACCGTCGGATCCATCCCGGCGCCGTCGAGCATGGCTGCGATGATCGAGGTCGTGGTCGTCTTGCCGTGGGTGCCGGCAACCGCCACCGACCACTTGAGCCGCATCAGCTCGGCCAGCATCTCGGCCCGTTGCACCACGGGGATGTGGCGCTCGCCGGCGGCCACGATCTCGACGTTGTCTTCGGCGATGGCCGACGAGACGACCAGCACCGCCACGTCGTCGATGGTCTCGGCACCGTGGCCGCGGGAGATGGGAATTCCCAGGGCGCGCAGGCGACGCACGGTCGCGCTCTCGGCGATGTCGCTGCCTTGGACCCGGTAGCCGAGGTTATGCATGATCTCGGCAATGCCGCTCATGCCGATCCCGCCGATGCCGACGAAGTGGATCGTGCCGATGGTGAAGGGCATCACCTTCATGCCGCGCCCCCCACAGGTTCCGACGTCGCCGGCTCTGGGGATGGACCGCCGATCAGGCCCTCGACGAGGTCCGCCAGTGCGTGTGCCGCATCGGGCTTGGCGAAGCTCTGGGCCGCGGCCGCGCGCCGGGCCAGCTCGGCGGGCTCTACCATGAGCGTCTCGAGCTCCTGGGCGAGCCGCGCTGACGTGAACGATGACTGCGCGATCATGATGGCGGCACCCGCTGCCACCATGGCCCGCCCGTTCGCGCTCTGGTGGTCGTCCGCGGCGATCGGCAGCGGCACCAGGATCGCCGGCCGTCCCGCTGCGGCGAGCTCGGCGATGGTCGACGCGCCTGCGCGGCAGATCACGAGGTGCGCCTCGCCGAGGCGCGCCGGCATGTCCTCGAAGAAGAGCGCGAGCCGCGCCTCCACCCCCGCCTCGCCGTAGCTGCGCTCGACTCCAGCCAGGTCCTCCGGACGGCATTGCTGGCTCACCTCGATCCGCCGCCGGAGAGACTGCGGCAGCGCCGCCACCGCCGCCGGTACGATTTCGGCGAAACCCGCGCACCCTGGCTGCCGCCGGTCACCAGCAGGCGGAACGGCCCGTCCGGTGCGGGCGGGTCGTACTGAGTGCCGCGCAACGCCGCGATGGCGGCGCGCACGGGGTTTCCCACATGCGTGACGAGCCCCGCACGGTTGTGGGGAATCCGCTCGGTCTCTGGAAACGACGTGGCGATCGCCGACGCGCGGCGGGCGAGCATCCGGTTGGCGCGCCCGAGCACCGCATTCTGCTCGTGCAGCACGCTCGGGATGCCGAGCCGCCCGCTCGCCACCAGCGGCGGCACCGACGGGTAGCCGCCGAATCCCACGGCCGCCGCCGGGCGAATCCGGCGCAGCACGCGCGCGGCCTGTACGACCGCACGCACGAGCCCGAGCACGGCGAGGCCGCGCGCCACGGCCCGCGTACGCTCGGGCTCCGGCTGGCGATGGCATGTCTTTCGATGCGCCCCAGAACGTCGCCGAATGCGGCGCCCCTCCGATCCGTCATGAGAACAAGACGACGGCCACGTGCTTCCAGCTCCGCCGCAAGGGCCTCCGCTGGAAACACGTGGCCGCCAGTTCCGCCTGCTGCGAGGAGAATGGGAGGGTTGGGCGCAGGCGTTCTCAAAGCACGTATCCTTCTCCGCTCCGCCGTTCGCGGGTCAGCGCGAGCACCATTCCGAGGCCGATCGCGGTCGCCATCGTCGACGAGCCGCCGTAGCTCAGGAACGGAAGGGTCATCCCCTTGGCGGGCAGGAGCCTGATTGCGACTCCCATGTTGATCAGGGCCTGGAAGCCGAATTGGGCGAGCAGGCCGGCGACCGCGATCAGCGAGAACAGATCGCCGCCGCGCATGGCGCGGGCGAATCCGCGGAAGACGATGAAGGCGAACAGTCCCGATGATGACGATGCAGGCGATGACGCCGAACTCCTCGGCGGCAACGGCAAAGATGAAGTCGGTGTGCGCATCGGGCAGCGCGTTCTTGACGGTCCCCTCGCCGGGCCCGCGGCCGAACAGCCCCCCGGCCTCGAAGGCGCGCAGCGAGGTGTCGACCTGATAGGTGTCGCCGGTCGTGGGGTCGATGAACTGGTCGATGCGGTTCTTGACGTGCGTCAGATGGTGGTAGGCGAAAAAGAGGCCGCCCGCCGTCGCTGCGCCGCCCACCACTGCAAGCGCGAGTGGCATGCCGGCCACGAACATCTGCACGAACCAGACGGCGGCAACCGTCGTCGCCATCCCGATATCCGGCTGCAGGACGAGAAGAAGCGCGGCGAGGATCACGGGGACCGACGCGAAGAGCTTGCCGTAGGGCAGCTGCTCTTCCTTGGACCGCGCGAGGACCGCAGCCATGAACACTGCAAGGCAGGGCTTGACGAATTCGGACGGCTGCAGGTGAAAACCGCCCAGCGGCAACCACCGGCGCGCACCGTTCAGCTCCGCCCCGATGATGAGCGTGAGTGCAAGAAGAGCGATGCTCAGCACGGTGCCGGCGGTGCCGATCCGCTTGACGCCGGTGCGGGAGAGCAGCGACACGCCAAGCATCACGATCAGCGCCACCGGCAGGAAGAGCAGGTGCTGGCGGGCGAAGTGGAAGGAATCGAGGCCGATCCGCTCGGCGGCGGCCGGGCTCGCGGCCAGCGCCAGGGCCGCGCCGACCAGCATGAGCAACAGCACCGCTGTCAGCACCCAGCGGTCGACAGCCCACCACCAGCGGCCGAGCAGGCTCGTGTCCGCGCGGGAGAAGGGCGTCACCGCGTGCACGTCTTAGCCTCCTCCCCGGCGACGACCCGATCGACGGGGACCAGCGCGCGAAACCGATCGCCGCGCTGCTCGAAGTCGCGGAACTGATCGAACGATGCACAGGCCGGCGAGAACAGCACCACGGTGCCCTCGCGCCCGTTCTGGCAGGCGGCGTCGAGCGCGGCCGCGACGGCGCGGTCGAGGGTGCCGCAGCGGGTCACCGGCAGTTGGCCCTCGAGCGTCGCCGCGAAGCGTTCCTCGGCCTCGCCGATGAGGAAGACATGGGCGATATGCGGGAAGACGGGCGCGATGGCGTCGATTCCGCCTTCCTTGGGCCGCCCGCCGGCGATCCAGTAGACATTCTCGAAGCAAGCGATCGCCCGCGCCGCCGCCTCGGCATTCGTCGCCTTGCTGTCGTTGATGACCGGGATGCCGCCGACGCTGCCGATCTTCTCCATCCGGTGGGGCAGGCCGGGAAAATCCAGGAGCGCCTGCGCCAGCCGGTCGGGCGGGAGCCCGCAGGCCCGTGCCGCTGCGAAGGCCGCCGCGGCGTTCTGCCAGTTGTGCGTTCCGGGCAATGCTGCCGCCTGCGAAAGGTCGCAGACCGCCTTGCCATTCTCGTGAAGAATCCCCTTTGCGACGGAAACGCCGCGGCGCGATCGAGCCGCCACCGTCACCGGCACCACCTGGAGCTGTGCCCGCTCCCGGAGGGACTCGTGGACGACGCGCGAGATCGGATCGTCGATGCCGATGACGGCAGTCCCGAGCCGGCCGGGGCGGAAGATCTGGCGCTTCGCGTCGACGTAGGCCGCCATGGTTCCGTGACGGTCGAGATGGTCCGGAGCGACATTCAGGAGCACGCCGATGTCGAAGGTCGTCTCGACGGTCAAATCGAGCTGGTAGGAGGAGAGTTCGAGGACGAAGGTCCCGTCGCCTGGCACCGGCGCGAGATCGAGGGCGGCGGTCCCCAGATTGCCGCCGACCCGAACGTGGCGGGCGCCGGCCGAACGCAGCAAATGACCGATGAGCGCCGTCGTCGTCGATTTTCCGTTGGTGCCCGTGACGCCGATGTAGCGGGGCTCCGGCAACGTGCGCCAGAGGAGCTCGATATCGCCGACCACCTCGACGCCAGAATCGTGGGCGGCAACGATGGCGGGGTGCGAGAGCGGGACGCCGGGGCTTGGCACCAGGGCGGCAATGCCGTCCTCGGGCGCCAGCGGGTCGCACCTCGAAGCCTTGGTCCCGTGCCGCCGCGCGCGCCGCCGGCAAATCGTCCCAACAGAGCACGCGGGCACCGCCGGCGCTGAGCGCCCGCGCTGCGGCGAGGCCGGAGCGGGCGAGCCCGAGCACGGCCACCGGCCGGTTGCGATAGAGCGGGACCCGGATCACAGCTCACCTCAACTTGAGCGACGAGAGCCCGATCAGGGCGAGGATCACGGCGATCACCCAGAAGCGGATGACGATGGTCGGTTCCGCGAGGCCCTTCTTCTCGAAATGATGGTGCAGCGGTGCCATCGCAAAGACCCGCCGCCCGAGGAGCTTGAACGAGGCGACCTGCACGATCACCGAGACCGCTTGGACTCGGGGCCGCTTCGAGCACGAACAGCCCGCCCACGATGGCGAGCACGATCTCGTGTTTGGTCATGACCGCGATGAGGCCGAGCGCCGCACCGGTGGAGAGCGAGCCGGTGTCCCCCATGAAGACCATCGCCGGCGGCGCGTTGAACCAGAGGAAACCCAGTCCCGCGCCGACCAGAGCGCCGCAGAAGACTGCAAGCTCGCCGGAGCCTGGCACGTGGTGGACCTGGAGATAGTCGGTGAACACGCTGTTGCCCACCACGTAGGCGATCAGCGCGAAGCAGGCGGCGGCGACCATGATCGGCACGATCGCCAGGCCGTCGAGGCCGTCGGTCAGGTTGACGGCATTGGACGAGCCGATGACGACGAAGACGGCGAAGGGCACCGAGAACCAGCCGATGTCGATCAGCAGCGACTTCACGAACGGCAGCGCGAGGCCGTGATCGAGCGGCGCCTCCAGAATCATCGTGACCCAGAAGACGACTCCCAGCGCAAGCACCAGCTCGGCGGCGACCTTGATGCGGATGTTCAGTCCGCGGTGGCTGCGATTCAGAAGCTTCATCGCGTCGTCGGTGAAGCCGATGGCACCGAACCCGATCGTGATCACCAGCAGTGCCCAGATGAGCGGGTTGGTCATGTCGGCCCAGAGCAGCGTCGTTCGCTACGGTGACGGCGAGCAGGATCAACACCCCGCCCATGGTCGGCGTCCCCGCCTTGGCCGCGTGGGTCTCGGGCCCGTCGGCGCGGATCGGCTGGCCCAGCGTTTGACGCGCGCGCAGCGCGCGTATCAGCGCCGGCCCGAAGGCGAAGCTGATGAGCAGACCGGTCACCACCGCCGCGCCGGTGCGAAACGTCAGGTACTGGAAGACGTTGAAGATGCCGATCGAGTCCGAGAGCGGATACAGCAGGTTGAAGAACATGGCGCGGCTCGCCCTTCTCAGTCATGACCGTCGAGCGGCCGTCGCATCGGCGGCGAGACGCCGCACGATCGGCCCATGCGGCTGCCGAGCGAGCCCTTGACCAGAACCACGTCGCCCGAACGGAGTTCGGCGCGCAGAATGTCGGTCAGACCTTCCGAGTGCGGTGCGTGGGCGCCGCGCCGGGCAGGGTCGAGAGCGCGGTGGAGGTGGGCCATCAGCGGGCCCACGGTGAAGACGAGATCGATCCCGGCGGCTTCGAGATCGCCGGCGAGTTCGGCGTGCCAGCGCTCTGCCGCCTCGCCGAGCTCCAGCATGTCGCCGAGCACGGCGAGCCGCCGCCCGCCCGACGCGAGCGGCGCTGTCTCGGCAAGCGTTGCGATTGCCGCGCGAACGGCCGCCGGGCTCGCGTTGTAGCTCTCGTCGATCAGCTCGCAGAAACCATCCGCAACGGGATGCGGAGGCGCACGCCCCGGCCCGCACCCGGCGCAACCGTGCGGAGCGCGCGGCC